ATGAAGGCTGGATATCGACGGAGAAAGGTTAGAAAACTTTAACCTTCGATATCTCCTAAACGGTTAGAGATACAGGCTTCGGACAGGTACCAAATTAAAGCCCTTTCAAAACCCTACATTTTGGACTACATGGACGACCCTCTACTCCCAATAGAAGCGGAGATATCGACGGATGAAGGCTGGATATCGACGGAGAAAGGTTAGAAAACTTTAACCTTCGATATCTCCTAAACGGTTAGAGATACAGGCTTCGGACAGGTACCAAATTAAAGCCCTTTCAAAACCCTACATTTTGGACTACAATGACGACCCTCTACTCCCAATAGAAGCGGAGATATCGACGGATGAAGGCTGGATATCGACGGAGAAAGGTTAGAAAACTTTAACCTTCGATATCTCCTAAACGGTTAGAGATACAGGCTTCGGACAGGTACCAAATTAAAGCCCTTTCAAAACCCTACATTTTGGACTACAATGGACGACCCTCTACTCCCAATAGAAGCGGAGATATCGACGGATGAAGGCTGGATATCGACGGAGAAAGGTTAGAAAACTTTAACCTTCGATATCTCCTAAACGGTTAGAGATACAGGCTTCGGACAGGTACCAAATTAAAGCCCTTTCAAAACCCTACATTTTGGACTACATGGACGACCCTCTACTCCCAATAGAAGCGGAGATATCGACGAATGAAGGCTGGATATCGACGGAGAAAGGTTAGAAATCTTTAACCTTCGATATCTCCTAAACGGTTAGAGATACAGGCTTCGGACAGGTACCAAATTAAAGCCCTTTCAAAACCCTACATTTTGGACTACAATGACGACCCTCTACTCCCAATAGAAGCGGAGATATCGACGGATGAAGGCTGGATATCGACGGAGAAAGGTTAGAAAACTTTAACTTCGATATCTCCTAAACGGTTAGAGATACAGGCTTCGGACAGGTACCAAATTAAAGCCCTTTCAAAACCCTACATTTTGGACTACATGGACGACCCTCTACTCCCAATAGAAGCGGAGATATCGACGAATGAAGGCTGGATATCGACGGAGAAAGGTTAGAAAACTTTAACCTTCGATATCTCCTAAACGGTTAGAGATACAGGCTTCGGACAGGTACCAAATTAAAGCCCTTTCAAAACCCTACATTTTGGACTACAATGACGACCCTCTACTCCCAATAGAAGCGGAGATATCGACGGATGAAGGCTGGATATCGACGGAGAAAGGTTAGAAAACTTTAACCTTCGATATCTCCTAAACGGTTAGAGATACAGGCTTCGGACAGGTACCAAATTAAAGCCCTTTCAAAACCCTACATTTTGGACTACATGGACGACCCTCTACTCCCAATAGAAGCGGAGATATCGACGAATGAAGGCTGGATATCGACGGAGAAAGGTTAGAAAAGTTTAACCTTCGATATCTCCTAAACGGTTAGAGATACAGGCTTCGGACAGGTACCAAATTAAAGCCCTTTCAAAACCCTACATTTTGGACTACAATGACGACCCTCTACTCCCAATAGAAGCGGAGATATCGACGGATGAAGGCTGGATATCGACGGAGAAAGGTTAGAAAACTTTAACCTTCGATATCTCCTAAACGGATAGAGTTACAGGCTTCGGACAGGTACCAAATTAAAGCCCTTTCAAAACCCTACATTTTGGACTACAATGACGACCCTCTACTCCCAATAGAAGCGGAGATATCGACGGATGAAAGCTGGATATCGACGGAGAAAGGTTAGAAAACTTTAACCTTCGATATCTCCTAAACGGTTAGAGATACAGGCTTCGGACAGGTACCAAATTAAAGCCCTTTCAAAACCCTACATTTTGGACTACAATGACGACCCTCTACTCCCAATAGAAGCGGAGATATCGACGAATGAAGCCTGGATATCGACGGAGAAAGGCTGGAAAACTTTAAACTTCGATATCTCCTAAACGGTTAGAGATACAGGCCTGGTTCTGGCACCAAATTAAAGTCCTTTCAAAACCCTACATTTTCGACTACATGGACGACTCTCTATTCCCAGTATAAGCGGAGATATCGACGAAGGAAGGCTGGATTTCGACGTAGGAAGGTTGGAAAACTTTAATCTTGGATATCTCCTAAACGGTTAGAGATACAGGCCTGCTTCCGGCACCAAAATAAGGTCCTTTCAGAACCCTACATTTTGGACTACATGGACGACTCTCTACTCCCAGTAGAAGCGGAGATGTCAACGGAGAAATGTTGGAAAACTTTAATCTTCGATATCTCCTAAACGGCTAGAGATACCATTGTCCCTGCTACTAGCGAATGTCCGGAGCGGACGGGATGCTGAATTGAGAAGCAGAACGAAGGGAACGGGACACGAGCAACGATACATCATGCGTCTCCAGACGTATCAAATCGTTTATTATACAGGAGACTTTGATACGACAACATGTATGTAGAGGATATGATATTTAATATGTACTTTTATTTTCCCTGCTCTCCCCCGCCCCCCGTTCTTTTTAGACCTGTGGGCATAGTCTGGCATAGAGATAATAACTATGGTTGCAGCACGGAGATAAACCGCCTGATAGTGGATTTAGCACCGACTTCCACCACATGCATTTTACCACCAAGACCTAAAAGTGGATGTAGCATAGTTCTCCTCTCAAAATGGATGCAGATGGCGCCCATTTCCAGTGCGAGAAATCGGTGTCGCCGAAAGCGCCGTGTTGGCCGCTCTCAGCTTCCTCTCTGGTTCCCGGCTATAAATGGGCGCAGATGGCGTTAAAATCAGTCATCAAAATGCATGTCGCCAAAAACATCGACGTGGCCGCTGTCAGGCTTCTCTCTGCAATAAGCTAGAGTGAGGAAACTTATATTTGTCTCACTTTAACTTATTGCACCAGTTCAACAGTGCAGCTACAAAGAACAGACCACCTGTAACTACGCATATTTTTGATCTTGGGGACTGCGTACGCGTTGTCCCTGTTTCTCTTTTATTTCCAAAATCGTGATTGGCGCAGAAGGAGTGTAATAACTCTGCTCAGAGCCATATATTAAATGAATGAATTGTATTCACAATTTGCTTGTGCCAACGAGTTTAATTATTGCAAGGTAAATATATTGTCTCTAATATAGCATAGCTAATATAGCATAATGATATTCTGGTATTATTGTTCAGTCTATGAACGAGCAATTATTTCACACGAAAGCGAAGCAGTATGTTCTATTATATTCAATGAGTTTCTTTGGAAATCATCCGGAATACTGCAAGTCGAAAAAGTGGATGTGATATCGATATGAGGTTTTAACCCTTAGCGCTCCGCTGTGGAGACATCCATCATTTATTTCAGTAATTCTGGTGGCTCCGCTGTGGAGACATTCTAGTATTAACATCAATAACTCCAGTTGCTTTTTGAAATTACAAGCACTTGTAATTTTTTCCGTTCAAAGTAAAATTTCTCTTTCCCAGACGCTCCACTGCAAAAGTGTTGCCGGAGTTACCACAGTAGGCAGTGATAAGAAAACGCGCGGAGTGCAAAGGGTTAAAAGCAAAACTCCTGTCAGCCCTAAACATCAAATATTAGCATATCTGTAAGATTATTTACAATTATCTTATTTACTTATGATTTCGTAACAATTTATCAAATATGAGCAATGCTTTATAATCTATTGGCAGCTCTCTTTTGGAAACTACTAAACCATATTTGGTAAATACTAAATACTACTGAGAATATCTGCTACATAAACATTACTGCTATTCACACGCGAGATACTAACTACATTTTCTATATAAGTATTTGATTTCACACTTGTGCATTTTTACTAATTTATATCATGCATTATATAAATGTTACAGAATAGCATATGATTCATGGCTGATGCTAGAATTCTCTGTTCCTAATACTGGTCAAACTTTACTAATAAAAGCCACTTAAGGAATAAATGGGATTTCTTATTAAATCATCAATTGCAAGATAAGAAGATATGTATTTCACGATGAAGCTGAATTTTCCTTCATTTCTATTAAAAATAATATTAATCTCATTTTAATAGCTGATGAAACAAATGATACAAAACAAGATTTTAATAAAATTGAACAAAGTCTTATTCAAGAACTAATTGAATATATACATATTACAATACTATATATGATAAAAAAGACTACTACCAACTGATTTAAAAACATATGTTGGCAGTAAAAATAATAAGCATAGAGTCTAATCCTGCCAAATTTGATTTTAAAAGTAGTGAACAACCAAACGTAGTAAAAGGTAGAATTTGTATAACAAAATATGTACAACTGATGATTGTAAAATAATATTTTATTAATATGCACTAAAATACAGTCACTCAAATGTCTGTGTAGAGACGCAATCAACACACACGAGATGATATAGGATTAAATATTATTTTTTTTAACATCACAACTGATTAATTTACCTATTAATAAATCTTTTGTACAAACATATTATAGTATAAAGGAAATCGATTGAAGCGAGAAACTGATTATAAAAATGCAAAAGACTGAATGGCATTGTTAAACTTGTGGTCTCCAAGCAATATTATCCAGTTTAGTAAAAATTCAACATCAGAATATATGTGTAATCATAAATGAAATCGAAGATGACAAGGAGAATAAAAATGTTATGCGTAAATCTAATAGTCAAGCATACAAATGTTCTCATTGTTTGCAAACATATCTTACATTTATCAGAATACTGAGGCATAAAAAATAACGTATTAAAGAAAGGTCATTTAATTAAGTTAATTATATAAATAAATAAGCTTAAATATATAACATGAGAATATCTTGTTATTAGAATTGTTATATATTTGTAGAATTTTGTGTACCTGATATCCGTAAGTATATTTTTAGCATACATAAAAGTATATTTCCTTTTAAAAATAAATTATTACTTTGATACTATTTACATAGTTATAGTTTAATAGTTTTTATTCTTGATTATACATTTTAATACATTATATTAATATATTTTATTTTATTTTGATATTCATTCTTTATGTACAAGAGCTTCAACAAATAAATGAACAACTGAAGTGTGTTTGAAAAATTCAGAAATAACTTATTTTACTAAAAAGTTCGCATATATATACATACGAGATGTGACATATCAAGTCCATGGCAAGAAATTTGAAAACATGAAACATCCTACAATTGTATATCCTATAAAATAAGACAGCACCAACTTATCCTGCAACGTATATCGTTCTTGCGATAAGAAAAACACTTTCCACTTAGAGCATACGTTCTCTCTACTTTCGTACTGCGGGTCAACACGATCAATATACTTATGAGACATCATCAACGCACAGTACCAATATATTAAAGGACTTGCGGAAGCTAATAAACGTGTGCTAACTTGAATATGCACAAAGAATAAGCAAAATATGGTCAAAAATAATCCATGTATCATGAAGGCAAACGTATCCAGCGGATATTTCTTTACATTTCTAGTATTTTCACTTTTCGCTTTGTCGTTAAATAATCCCAGTGAATACAGTTCGTTGTTATATTCAAAGAGGAATTCTTTAACGCAGTGCAACATGATAAGCAATGTCGGAAAAGCTAAGATAAAATTCGGTATTTGTTTGAATCGATAATATCTCAAGAATCCAACGTTCCAATACGTTTTTTGTACATATGAATATGCTAGAGGCACACTAACGTTACACCATACCGAATTTTCTGTACCCGGTAGAACTAGATCGTTTTCTATAGCGTATTGTAAGATATGAGTCGGCAACAACGACGTATTAATGAGAATGCAAAACTTCATGTAATTGTATATTTGTAGAAGAACGAACGGCGACACCGATATAATTATCGTGCTCAACACAATGAAAAAATTATTCAATGTCATGAGTTTTAAGATATGCCAGACGGTCGACAGAATGTTGCGCTTTCGTTGTGTTGCTCCCAATGCGGAATCATATAGATTCTTAAACCCGAAATACACGGGAAAGCCAATATTAACAACACCGTTCGATCTCACCAAGGTTGACAGAGCAAGTGGAAAAGAAATAGCAGACATGCATTTCATACTTCCGAGCATAGTGTAAAACGACAGATACGCGAACATGGATTCTGAATATACAGCCGAAAAGAATATGCTGGCCGGATTTATGCAGTAAAGTATCGCTGCTTTATACGCCGTTACAGTGTCCTTAAATACACGCTCGGTGAGATCGTAAAGGATAATCGCGGACTTGACAAAACACGTGAAATTAATACATGTCGCGGCCAGCATCATTGTGCTTTGAATATTCAGCATGGGAAGTATTCTCAGCAAAACAGCACCGACAACGCGAATCATAGCCGGATACAATGGATAAAAAGCGAGAGTATTCTCATAAACGTAGCCGTATCTCGCGATGTGCAGAAAATACTCACCGTCCCAACGTGTAAGACCGTCAAGTAAAAAATACACTATTTGATCCCACAGGGAAACTTCCTCCGTGGGATCCAAGGGTCTTTTAAATGCGTCCGCATGATGATCGGGTATTAATGCGTTAAAAATGATTTGCAGTATAAATATCACGATTCTACTAACGATCGCAAACCAAAAAACTTTTTTTCTTGGTGTGTACATTTTGTGCTGCTTTACGTTCACTTAATTTTTCCACTGTATAATCCGTAGAATATGTACGTAGCCGATTATCGTGAAAAAAAGAAATGAAACGGGCTTGCGATCAATTTGTTCATGCTCTAATAATATAACCGGTGATTCACACATTTGACTTCCTGCACACCCTTATCGCACGGGGAGGAAGTAGTCGGAGTGGGCCATTCTCTCGTGGGAATGATATACTCCTCGTTAGTAGAAATTCTTGGAGCTCTGTTAGTGAGTGGGACTCGGTAGTGCTGAAACAATCATTTTTATGTGACTTAAACAGTGCATGTATTGGCGACAGTAGAGGACACGCACTATGCATTCCATACTATCGTTTTACCATTTATTCGTTATCGTAGTTAATCTCTCATTACTTGCTGCACAAAATGTCTTAAATTCGCCATCCGTACCATCACTACCTCCACCTCCACCTCTACCTTCACCTGAGCCTACGCCGGATCCTAATAGATGTACGTTATGCATATATTTGATCCTATGAACTTATCGGATGGGTACTTGTACTAAAGAAACACGTCCACTTGTTTTTCAGTCTTTAAGAAACCGGAGAAAGAAACAGCCAAGGAAGAGTTCAATAAACAGTTAACAGATTGGTTATTCACTGGATGTTGGGGTGCCCAAACGGGAAAGCCTTTTCCATCGAATATATGCACACAATATCGCACCGCGAAGGAGTATCCTGGTTACGATGGATGGTACAATAATGTCGGTAAGCCAGAATTAGGAGCCGTCGACACTCCCTTGTTGAGGAAACTGCCAGCAGCTTATGAAGATGGAGTGTACAAACCGTCAGGTTCTAAAAGACCAAAGCCATTAATCTTGAGCGATAAACTGCTGAAGGGAGAAATTGGATCTAAATCAAGAACGGGAAGAAATGCCTTGCTTGTGTTTTTTGGTGCGTGAGAAAATGATTTATATACGTGTGCAGAACTATTTTTGAAACTATATTGTTTCCACTTGAATGCAAATTTAATCAGGATAAACTGACGAGGTATACTTTATTCATGAAATATATACTCACCCGCAAAAAAGCGGGCCACTAAACTTTAGCACAATTTTATGACATCTTTCAATAGCGATAACTCAGCCAAAAATCATCATATTGATATGAAACAAGGCTCAAATTAAAACTTGGACATTTCTTGTCAATAACCAAAAACTTAAAAGTGAATTATAATAAATGTTTTATAAAATGGCGGATGTTGAAGATAGATTTAAATTAATAGGGAAAAAAATGTGTTTAACTGTTGTGCTGCTCAGGAGAATCGGTTCTCTGGTACAAAAATGTATAAGGTTTAAAGCTTATTTATTTCCTAACAAATCCATATTTTAATTATTTTTCTACGACCTTTTTTGATAAAGTTATTCCGTTTTGGAGAAAATATTATAAGTCCGGATATGAATCTTATCGAGCATTTATGGCATGCTGAAATAAAGAGTAAGAAAACATAATATTCAAATGTCAGCAGCACTTCCCAACGCTTTGCAAAAAAAAATTTAACAATATGAAACAAGAAGAAATAAAAAATTTGATTTACAGTATGCCCCACCGAATAGAAAAATTGCTAAATGCGAAAGAAGGTAATACACACTATTAAACATATATACACACACACACACACATACATATACACACGCGAGTACGTACACACACACACAGACATACACACACGGGATCAGATTCCTGCCACGTCCACGCCGTTGGTCCTGAGTAACACTAAAAGCAGGACACACATATGCATGCATATGTACAAGCACGCACTTATACGAATTTTAAATTCAATTATTTACCACCACGTGGAGTATCTTGATCGAATTACATGTTAATTTCCTTTTTGATAAAGTTTTCCACGATAGTTTTCATTCTGAACTGCAGATTTTATAAGAAAAAGTTACCCATTTTGTAACATTTTCTTCAAAATGATATAACTTTATCAAAAAAGATCGTAGAAAAATAAATAAAATATGGATTTGTTAGGAAATAAATGAGCTTTAAACTTCATACATTTTTGTACTAGAGAACCGATTTCCCTGAGTAGCGCAACAGTTAAAAAACACATTTTTTTCTCCATTAATTTATCTTCAACATTCGCCATTTTATAAAACATTTATTATAATTCGCTTTCAGATTTTCGATTGTTGACAAGAAATGTCCAAGCTTTAATTTGAGTCTCGTTTCATATCAATACGATGATTTTTGGTTGAATTATCGCTTTTGAAAGATATCATAAAATTGTGCTAAAGTTTAGTGGCGCGTTTTTTTTGTGTGATCCGTATTGCTTACTTTTCGTATATACAGGATATCTTTAAAGTCTGATCCCACCCCTAGATTTCGGAAACAGTTTTAAATATGGAAAAATGTTTTAGATAAAAGTTATATGGTTTCACAGGAAACGTATAACAACTATATCATTTTATATACAGATGGCGCCACTTTCGAGATATTCACTGATCATTACTTTTCTTAAGTGGAAATCCTAATTTTTTATTATATCATCTTTTTCTATCAATTAATTTAAACAACTTTTATCTGAAACATTTTTTTATTTACCTAATATCTCAAAAAATATCAGGCAAAAGAAAAAATGTTTCAAACAAAAGTTGTTAAAGTTAATTGGTATATCTCGAAAGTGGCGCCATCTATAAACAAAATTATATAGTTCTCATATATCTCTTTTGAAACCATACAACTTTTATCTGAAATATTTTTCCATATTTAAAGCTGTTTCCAAGATCCAAGGGTGGGATCAGACTTTAGAGATATCCTGTATAAAAAAATCTACAGAAAGTTTATGTATAAGTGTAAAACATTTGTATAAATTATACAGTAACAATTTTAATTTAATACTGCATGAACTGCGATATCGTGTGACGTAGTTTGAAATTAAATTAAGAGTATAAAGTTCATTAACAGCCGCGGTTATTTTGGACGAAGGATAATTTTTATTAATAGTGGAAGAGAGAGGAAGAATAATAACGATTCTTCAAACTAAAAACCGCGAATCGACTCTTAATGGCCTCATTTAATAGTTGCCTCAATTTAACTTAGTTGTATACCAATAGAGTACTTTCTATATGAGATATATGTATTTAAAACAACTTGGAACATTTTTTTTCTTATACAGGTCAACAAGTGGTGGAAGAAATTTTGGATGCTCAGAGACCAGCATGCCCACCTGAGTATATCAACATAGATATCCCAGAAGGCCATCAATATAGGATTAAACCGGGGCACACGGAGATGCCTGTTTTACGCACACGGTATGATCAACGCACGGGTCATTCGCCGAACAATCCACGACAACAGGTACAACTTGCTTGTCCTTTAGAAGAATTCTGTCCAAAAAAGATCCAAAAAATCCCCAAAAAATACTTCCCAGAAAACACAAAACGTCTTCAGAACAAACTTAAATATGTCCAGAATATTGTCCTGGGATATTTTCAGGATATTTAGTAGTGTTATTGTAAACAATTTAAACAAAAAGTGCAAATTGAAATACAAATTGAAAAAACAAATTGAGTACATTAGTAGCTCGGTTTCTTTTATATTCAAGAAATTTTAGAATTCTAAGAGATTAAAATTTAGAAAGATTCAAAAATTTTTTTGTTCCTAAAAATGAAATCGAACTATTAATGTTTACAATATTTTTGTTCTTGGTGTCGCTGAACTCAAACCCGAATTGTGAAATTTAAAATAGCGAATCTAATATGGCGGAGCAAAAATTCAAAAAATTATCCGATTCAAATTTGATCTCAGATATTTCAGAATTCAGCGAGTTTAAAAACATAAAAATATGATATCCCGTTTTGCTTCGTTAAAAGATTTTTTTTTAGAATGCGCCGATATTTCAATCTCATCAACAATTTAGGTCACTTTTCTCCCCATGAATATTTCCGTTAAGGGATTAACAACATTATCATTGTTCTGCTCATCTCTTTCCAAACCAATAAATATGAATATAATATCACAGTTAAATGAGATCACGCCGTACTTGGACGGTGGACTGATCTATGGCACATCAAAAGCATGGTCAGACGTTCTGAGGACGTATGCCAACGGAACTGTGCACCCGGGCGGCGAACTTGCATCATCGTTGTCCGGCTTATACCCTGAGCGGAACAGTGTCAGATTACCTATGGCGAACCCACCACCGCCGGCCCACCATTCGCTGTACGTTTCACGACATTACACCGAGGAGGTCACCAGATATTTCAGTGAGTAAAAAATTTTATTTGCATCAACACACGTAAACGAATACACGATTAAAATTTAGTACCGCAGACGCGCTTAGCATAATCGGCTATATGGTGATCTTTCGGGGTGCACTCATACTCGATTTTCTCTGAGTACGGCATCGGGACGTCGACTCCGCAGCATCGAACCGCAGGCGCATCCAGCTGGAAGAACACTGGATTCTCCATTACCATCGCGACAATTTCCGAACCCACACCGCATCGAGGCCAGCCCAGTTCGACGGTCATCAATCTGTGCGTCTTGCCGATCGATTTAAAGACTGTATCCCAATCCAGAGGCCTCAATGATCGCAGGTTAATGACTTCTGCTTCGATCCCTTGCCCGGCTAATATCTCAGCAGCCTGAAGCGTGTAGACGAACGCTTGACCGTGCGTCACCAAGGTGATGTGTTTGCCGGCTTTCTCTACTTTAGCCTTGCCAAAAGGTATCTGGTAATCCTTGTCCATGGCTTCGTCGGACAGGGGGAACTCGATATTGTAAAGTAACTCGCTCTCCAGCATCACCACGGGGTCCGGATCCCTCACGGCGGCCTTAAGACAACCCCTGTAATCCTCGCAGGTCGATGGTGATACGACCTTAAGGCCGGGCGCGCTCATGTACCAAGAGGCGAAGCACTGGGAATGCTGCGCAGCCAGACCCTTGGCGTTACCGTTTGGGCCACGAAATACTATAGGGACGGAATATCTGCCGGCGGACATATACAAGTTTTTCGCGGCGCCGTTAATCATGCGGTCGATCGCTTGCATGGAGAAATTGAAGGTCATGAATTCACATATCGGTCGCAGGCCCAAGAGCGCCGCGCCTATGGCTATGCCGCAAAATCCAGCCTCGGTTATTGGTGTATCGATCATCCTTTTGTCGCCGTATTTCTTCCAAAGACCACGCGTCACTTTGTAAGCGCCGTCAAATTCCGCCACCTCTTCTCCTATTATGAATACGCTCTCGTCTCGAGCCAATTCCTCATCGAGGGCCTGATTCAACGTGTCCCGCACCGTCATCTTCGTGATCGATCTGCGTGACAAGTCGAGCAGGACGCGGCGCGTCTGCGATATCACTTGATTTCTCAACGCTCGAAGAAGATACATCCTCGTACAGACAACAAATGACGATGTACTATCTCTGGAGGTTCGGTTCTTAACTTAATGCAATTCGTATATTTGTTGCAGAGTTAGGAAATCCACGAGGGAACGAGAATCCGTTCCTGCTGACTTTCGGTATAGTGTGGTTCCGATGGCACAATTTCCTGGCGAAGCACATTAAACGTCTCAATCCAGATTGGTCGAGCGAGAAGATTTACAACGAAGCTCGTAAATGGGTAATAGCGACTCAACAGCACATTGTGGTCAATGAATGGTTGCCTTCGTGGTTGGGGACGGAACTTTCTAATTATATTGGTGAGAAACAGATAGAGCGCGATTATCGCATGCAATATTCTGAAGAACTTGTCATTCAAATCTTTGTAACTTGCATACAATTTACGTTTGACTTTTTTCTTGTCAAAAGGTTATAACCCCAATATCGACCCGCAGATAGATCAATTCTTCCAATCAGCTGCTTTCCGTTTCGGGCACACTTTAGTTCCACCAGGTAAACAATGCATGTGACACCTGATTATTAGCGCGTTATTTCGAATATAAATATAAATATATCGATGATGAAGGGAACAAAATCACTTTATGTAATGCGATATTGATTTTCTATTTCATGGTCTACTTGCTTCTATTCGTATATCTTCTTTTTTTCTATAATCTGCAACTTTATGTTTGTTCGATTATAAGATAATATAAAATATATACGATGATATATAACATATAAGATGTTTCAGACATAAATGGCCAAGCTTTAAGAGCATATTCTATTTACAATAAGAATGAAAAAAGACCATATAAATATGAATCCAGAAACTTGTTGCTACTGAGAGAGTACTCCGAAATCGTATCGTTTTGTGTGACAAAATATAAAATCCAGAAATTTTTAAATGTCTTCGACAGTCCGTGAGACGTCGAAACCAGTTATGTATTGATGCGGAAGAAAATTATTATCCAGAAATTCTTTAATGAAATGTTCTTTGACGAGAGTCTATTATAAATAAAAATCGTTTATAACTCGGAAAAGAAGCATTTCTGGATCCATGTTTATATGCGCTCTATAACTTTTTTATTCTTACAGTAAATAGAATATGCTTTTAAGGTTTGGTCACCCATTTCTGAAACACTCTGTATAAGAAGATGTAAAAACTTGATACATTGCGTAATGATCGGTATTGTATTAATTATACAGTGCTGGCAAAAAGTTCTGCAACATGAAAATCTTGAAAAATATTGATTTCTTGGAAAAATGTTTCAAACAAAAGGAGTAGAGTTTAAAAAAATCTATTAGATAATGATATGTATCTGACCTTGGCTTTGACTATGAAAAGCTGACTTTGAAAAGCTCGGTCATGGTCAACATAAAAATCTTAAACGGAAAGCCTTATTTTTTATTGCACCGTCTTTTACTACCAATTAATTTGAACAACTTTTGTCTAAAACATTTTTTTATTTGCTTAATATTTTTTGAAATATTTAAGGAAAACTTGATAACTTTTTCAATATTTAACTTATGATATCTCGCTAACTATTTGTCGGAAGAAAAAATGGTACTAAACCTTTTTGCTCTATTTAGTCTTAAGAATATATTGTTACAATAGCGCCATGATTTTTGTTAATTTGATAATTTTAAAATCTCCAAAAGTCAGTAAATTAACAAAAATCATGGTGCTATTGTAACAGTGTAATAAAAAATAGAGGTTCCCGTTTAAGATTTTTATGTTGACCATGACCGAGCTTTTCAAGGTCATACCAAAGTCAGATAGATATCATCTCCTAATAGATTTTTTTAAGCCCTATTCCTATTGCTTGAAACATTTTTCCCAGAAATCAATATTTTCCAAGATTTTTAACCGTTGCGGTACTTTTTGCCAGCATTGTATATGTGAATCAATAATAGCAGTAATCATAATAATACTAATAATCATACAGGTGTATACCTTCGTAATTATGGAAGAAATAATTGTTCCCTGGAGCGATTTCCAATCAGAACATGCAACAATTACTGGATGTCGCAGGTATCTTGGCGATTATATTGACATTTAAAATATATTAACAAGCACTTAATATATGATAAATTGTCATTTAGAATTCTCTTTTTGCCAATTTCACGGAAATGATCAGTGTCAATGTGGATAAATTATTAATGGGAATGGCTATTCAATTATGCGAAGAAGAAGATCACAAAATCGTTGAAGATCTGCGAGGCAGTTTGTTCGGTCCATTGGAATTTTCCAGAAGGGATTTAATGGCGCTTAACATTCAACGAGGACGGGATCATGGCGTACCGGATTTCAATAGCGCTCGTCGTGCGTACGGTCTACATGAGGTTAAAAATATATCCCATTTTGTTCATGTGTCACCAGAGGTATGTTGTACAATGCACAGAAACCTTTAATCTGTCATAATAATGACATTATAAATATAAAAGATATATCGTTTGCACTTTATTCAAGATTAAAAATGAGTTTCTCAAGCTATATAACTCGTTTGATGACGTGGATATCTGGGTAGGGGGAATACTGGAGACCGGTGATACACCTGGTGAATTATTCCGAGAAATCATTCGCGATCAGTTTCAGAGAATACGTGATGGCGATAGATTTTGGTACAAAAATCTAAACAACGAGTACGTATACAATAAAATAAATTATCTTTTATAAGTTCCCAGAAACACCGTTTTCTTACTAAACCATTGACTATATTTCAAATTGTATCAAAGGTCAAGTGTTCAATCTATACTAAAAGTCAAATGTATATGTGTTTAAATTGTTTAAAATGTGTTTTTTGCATCTCTTTAAGACATTTAAAACATGAAAAAGTTTTAAACAAAAAACATGATGTTTTGTTTTTTTATTTTAATGTTTTTACCAACTCTGCACTGCACAGAGATTTGCATCTTCTACGTATCATGTTTTGGTATATATTTACTCGACAACTAACTGACACGGCTTCGTTTGTAGACTTTTTACTGCAAAAGAAGTTATACGGATAGACGAATTATCAATCTATGATTTGTTAATGTGTATCACTGAAATGGACTGGAATGATGTCCCAAGGAATCCCTTTAGAGTACCTACAAAAGGTATCAGTAAAAGCATGGAGATTTATACTCGCTTGACGATAACTGAAGATATTACGAATTATATATTATACCGTTTCAGAGGAGGAGATGCATCCAAACTGTAAGAAAAATAATGTTATCAAAAAAGGCGCATGTACTACTGGCCCGTGCTTTCACGCTGAACAAATAAATGAAAATAATATCGAGAAGTGCACCGAGCCTGGAACTTACGATTTCTTTTCCAATAGCAGCGCGTCTTTTATTCTTACATTCTTAAGCGTAACAACATTTTTCTGCGGTAAACTTTATCAACTATATCACTATTAATACATTGTGATTGTGTAAACTTTATATTATTTGATTGATTAATTTTGAGGCAGGTCTTATTGCGGTGATCTCTTATAAGATACAGTTCAAGGAGAAAGGACTGAAACCAGAAAATGGTAGAAAAATGGAACACATTGATAACGTAGATAGCATATTTATGGGTAAATTTCTAGGTATATACATCACAATATATGTGATGTACATAATATATACTATCGTCTATAACACCGCTTATATATTATTAATAATTCTTTGTATTTAAATAGCTAAGGAATGGCAAGAGCCGAAATCCTCTCTGAGAAACGTTTTAGTAACACCAAATATCAGAACTCAACAATTAGAAGTGAAGAATCAATTGGGACATTTGATACGCGCCATGGAATTTCCATCTAATAGCAATGTTATGGTACATTTGTTTATTGTGCATCAAATATTACTCATTAACAACATATTCTCCGTAACAAATATATAAAATATATCATTTTTCCTATAGATTTACTGCTCAACCGATAACCATTACATGTTGATTCGCGTACATCATAGTTACGATTTAGTGCTGAAATTTGATTCGGAATATGTAAGAGGCACATTTATAAAAGCATTCGATAGATTTATGTTAGAAATTGCAACAGACGGAAATGTATGCTCAGTGCAAACAACAAATGTTACGCTCGCGATGATGCTCAAGCAAGCAATAACTAAGAAGCACCGTCAAAAGAAATTAGAGATGTTCTTCCGTGTTGTATTCGCACAGGTATTTTCTTTTCTATTTACTTGAGAAGGCTTGTTTTCTCAAATGAAGGATTCACTTTGGTATAACATACAAAATTGCTGAAGGATAAGTACAAGTATATATGTATAATAATGTTTTCAGGCGTTCCACATCGCACATACGGAGGAAGAAATATTACAAATAGACTCGACAGTAGCGAGAGAAGTAATTTATACGGAATTAACTATCATAGAATTTGCAGAAGCCTTGAGCATGAGGCCGGACTCTGAGTTCGTAAAGAAGGTGACACATTTGTCTGAAGTCTGATAAGTGATACGAATAGATGACACGAATATGTTATTCGAAAAAGATTGTATATTTGCAGATATTTAATTTAGTGGATAAAGACAAAAGCGGCTTTATATCATTCCGGGAATTCGTTGATATGCTGGTGATATTTCTAAAAGGCTCCGCTGAAGAGAAGATAAAGTTAATGTTCGATATGTATGATATCAACGGTACAGGAAGACTGAAGAGGGAGGAATTTTCAAATATGTTAAGGTATATTTTTATCATGTACGTGTATATCGTGTATATGATATGAGAAGGATACATGACATGTATTATGTCGAACCTGCAGATCATTTATGGAGACAGTCAATGCTGACGTAACAGACGACGAATTAGAGTCTCTGGTGCAGTCTATGATGTATCACGCCAACTTGGCGAACAAAGAAATTATAAATCTGCAAGACTTTCAGCAAATATTGACCGATTTTAACAATCAGCTTAATTATGCCGAGCTGGAGTTCAATGTGCAAGCAGACGGGAGGAACAGGAAACTTCACGCGGGCGTGAAAACAGTTAGATCAACATTCATCGGTGAGGTACAAAAAACGGTGGAGAGTTTATATGCCGATCCCAGTGAATTGCAATCAAGAGTTGAAGGCAAAGTCGAGAACGAACAAGATGTAACGGAGGAAAGAGGCAACAGTGAGATCATCGACAAAGATGAGAAGATCGTTGAGGAAATGAAGAAATACTCGGACGATTATTGGTATCCTGTAATGAAGTATCTCGCTAACAAAAGATTGCAAATATTCTGGACGTGTTTGTACACTCTGTTACTCCTTGGGATATTCGCCGAACGAGTGTACTGTATGTACTTCGAATATTCTTTCGCTGCGGATCTTTGGTTTTGAACGTCGCGAATATTTAACGCAAATATTTTCTTGTGAATATTCTTACAGATTATTCCATAGAACGAGAACATTCCGGTCTGAGACGAATATTAGGCTACGGCCTGACTATAACGAGAGGTGCGGCGTCGGCAATAATGTTTACTTATTCCACGCTACTACTCATGATGTGCCACAACACTATCACGATCCTGAGGACCACAGTTCTGCAATTTTATATTCCATTTGATTCTGCGATCGAGATGCATAAATACATCGCTTGTTGGGCGCTAGCTTTTACTGGTGAGAGAAGACATAAAAAATTGATTTTAAAAAATCGCACATTTAATGGTATATAAAACAACACGTTTCTTTTATGTAAAAATTTCCATGGTATTATTTCCATAGTCGATTTCATATATATTCAGGAGAGAGAAAGAAAGTATTTTATTTAAGAATTTTTTAGTATTACATATTATCGGACATGGCTTCAACTTTTACCATATATCCACGCAGACTGCCGACGATCTGCTATGTCTGTTCCGGAATTATTTCCACGCGTAAGTACTCTTCTATAAATATTCCAATTAACCATACGAATTATCCGCGTTTATGTACGATACATATCATTGTATATAATCATCGACATCTATATAGGACGCATGAATTGCCCAAATTTCATTACTGGTGTTGGGGTACAATGACAGGTATAACAGGAGTACTTTTAACCTTTGTGACTGGATTGATATTTATATGTTCATTGTCGATGGTGCGCAAAGCATTTTACAATTGGTTCTCTTTTGTGCATTCCCTGTATCCAGTTTTCTACATACTCATGGTTTTACACGGAAGTGGAAGATTAGTACAAGTAATTAATGCTTTTATGTAATTGTTCTCACGATAACATAACTTACGCAAAATTACTTAATTTATTGCGATAGGAACCATATTTCCACTACTTCTTTTTGGGGCCGGTTATCCTGTTTATTTTGGATAAAGTCGTAACAGTGACTAGAACGAAAATAGAAATACCAATACTTAAAGCGGATATTTTGCCATCAGGTACTTTTTCTCCAATAGAATTAATATTCCGCTATCTCTGCTTATTCATGCAATATATTGATATGTCTTTTATAGGTGTAACATATTTAACATTTCCAAAACCTTTAAATTTTCAATATAAATCTGGCCAGTGGATTAGAGTAGCGTGCCCAGCACTGCAAACAAATGAATACCATCCGTTCACTTTATCCTCTGCGCCGCATGAGACTAGTTTAAGTATACATGTAAGAGCAGTTGGACCATGGACTACAAATATCAGAGATAAATTAGAGCAATGTATTATGCCCAATGAAAATTTACCAGTGGTAGGCTTTTATATTATAATATGGTGAAAAATTATACATATTTACGATATCGTATACATTTATTCAAACTTTTTGCTACACTTAATAATGAAATAAAATTCTCATAGTTATGTATATGAATATTATGTATATTTTCATATATATTTATTGATAGATTCATATAGATGGTCCGTATGGAGAAGGTCATCAAGACTGGGATAAATATGAAGTAGCAATCATGGTTGGTGGTGGTATAGGTGTTACACCTTTTGCTTCAATACTCAAGGATATAGTCTTTAGATCAAACCATAATGTAAACTTCAGTTGCAAGAAGGTACTAATATTACTGTAGTATTATAATACAGGGTATACGAAAAGTATTGAAACCCCTTAATATCTCGGAAAATACGCATTTTAGAAAAAAATGTTTCATACAAAGTTAATAGAGTTTTATAAGACGCATTATACGGCAATATTATTATGACCTCAAATTGTGTTGTCAAGATCACGTGAAAGTCATCTTAAATTTCTTAAATGGGACCTCCTATTTTTCATTACATATTCTTGTAGCTTATCTCGAGAGCTTTCCAAAACACTAATTAAATGTTTTTTCGTTAGATATTTTTGGAGTTACAAGACTTAAAAGTTGCAGTACCGCCGGCATTAGCATTATCCAAGCGGGCATGCGACGTATGCCCTCATGTGTATATACATATATACATATTTTTATTTAAGTGTGCGTAAATACTGCTACATGTTTCTGAGTGTTTGCATTCAATAAATGTTTAAATTAATGGCCATTAACAGTTTGACAATGTGCCAGTCTAGTATAAAAATTGGAAATGGCATTTTCGCAAAAATGGGGAGGTATTTCGTCATTTATTCCATGATGGGGTTTAAAGAGGTTTTGTGCTGTAATTTTTACTTTTGAGATAATCTCAAAGAAAATAGTCTAGCGGGGAGAGATCTGGAGACCATACTCAGAAACATGTAGCGGTATTTACGCATACTTAAATAAAAATATATATGTATGTATGTATGTATGTACGTATGTACGTATGTATGTATGCACACGTCGCGCGCCCGTGTGCACACACACACACATATACAAAAGAGGTGTAAATCTGACCATGCAACCTCCACGCAGTACACCTTGGGTAATGCTAATGCCGGCGGTACTGCAACTTTTAAATCTTGTAACTCGAAAAATACCTTTACGAAAAAACATTTAATTATAGTGTTTTGGAAAGCCCTCGAGATAAGCTACAAGAATATGTAATGAAAAATAGGGGGTTCCATCCAAGAAATTTAAGATGACTTTCACGTGATTTTGACAACTCTATTTAAAGTCATAATAATATTGCCATGTAATGCACCTAATACTAACTTTGTATAAAACATTTTTTCCTAAAATGCATATTTTCCGAGATATTAAGGGGTTTCGATAGTTTTCGTACATTCTGTATATAAAACCAAATTTATATAGTTATCCCATTTGTAGGTATATTTTCTTTGGGTTACAAGAACTCAAAAGCAATTTGAATGGATGGTTGACATATTAAGGGATCTTGAAAAAACAGATGTCAAAAATATAATATCAATTCATATTTTTGTTACTCAATTTTACCAAAAATTTGACCTACGAACGATACTTTTGGTAAGACATCTGATTGTAATTGTTGCTAATATGTGAAGTTTTTTTGAAAAATTATGTGATAAAATATTATTTCCAGTATATCTGTGAACGTCATTTTCAAAAAATTTCAAATAAATCCCTGTTTACTGGTCTCAAAGCAGTCACACATTTTGGACGTCCAAAATTTTTTCAATTCTTCCTATCTATCCAGAAATTACATCCTTCTGTAAGTATATATTATCATACTCATATATTTACTGGATAATACTTATATTAATTTCTATCATTCTGTATATTGTTGTTGAATTGGTGATATTGATATATCATCAAATCTGTATGGTTTCATGTAAAACATCTGAAATAATTTTTTTATTTCAGGCAAACAAGATTGGTGTTTTCAGTTGTGGTACACCAACAATGACCGAAGCAGTAGATGCTGCTTGCAAAGCAATTAATTTAACAGAAATCAATGATACACTGTTTCAACACATTTATAAAAGTTTCTAAATTTACAGATATTTAGTATAAAATTTTATTTTTAATGATCATGAAATGTTCTTCTAAGTTTTCTTCTAATTTTAATTTAGATAATTCATTTTATTTTTATTTCTTTGATATTTTTCTATAAATAAATACTATCAAATAAACAATATTGATATTAATAGTAAATTATCTGTCATATTTGTATCAATATCAAAATTTCATAAACTATGTAAATGAGAATTTCCTTAATTATCTGCAATAATTTTATATTAATATAGATCGCTTCAGTTTTCAGTTTAGTTAAATTACACTATAAAATCATTTTATTCAACAACAATATATATTTTACATATAATAGTTAAATATATACTTACAAATATTTTGCGGTTAATTATAAAGAAGTCGGGTTGTTTCATTTGCCTGAAATTTTGGAATTTGTTATTTTACTATATTTTATTGCAAAAAACAAGAGTGAAAATTAAAATCGTCACTCTTAAGGTCATTCTACAATACGTGTCGTAAGTTGTAAGCCGTAAGAATTGGCGAATCATAGTCGATTATTACAAAAATAATCGGCTATAATTGGTCAGTTCTTACGGCTTACAACTTACACGTATTGTAGAATGACCTTTAAATAAAACAACGTTATAAAATGCTAAAAAATGATAACTATGAGGTTAGAAATTCTGTCATATCGATACTGTATAGAGTTTGCAAACGTATGAAAGTACAAATGATAAATCACGTGATAACTGTTTAATTAGTAAATTAAAAATATAACCAAATTCAAAATGCAAATTGGAGATTTAAAAATATCAATCTAATTTTGTAATAAAAAAACGGAATAGTATAATTTATCAAACCTAATTTAACCTAACTTTACTTAACTTGATTCTATCTAAACCTAATTCTTACTTAACCTAATTCTATCTAAAGTATTGGGACATTACTATTCCTTATTAAAATATACATACACCCAGACAGCACTGGACATTCAATGGATGTACGTTTTACGTCCAATGTATGTCCGTATGTCCGATTTACGTCCGTGGACATAAATTGGACGTAACAAGGATGCCCTTATTGGACATCGGACCTGTAAGACGTCCGATGTACAGTCGCGGACATAAAGATTGTCACATTTTTTTAATGACTTTCGGAACGCATCCCGACTTGAGAATAAAGCCAGCGGCATACAGTGCTTGTTTTCGTGCTGGATTGCTTGCTGGATGAAAATATTGCATTGTGATTGGTACATTTCCGAAGATGGATGGAAATGCGCCAATCAGAACGTAGTATTTTCCAGCAAGCAATCCAGCACGAAAACAAGCACCGTGTGCCACTGACTTAACTTCCATTAGCCTCTATCCGTCGAATTTTACCACGGTGAAACGTGCGATCGCTCGTCAAAATGCAGGTTCCACCAATTTTTATGGAATTGCCATTAGATGATCAGGTAAGTTTGCACAGATTTTTAAAGCGTAATCGATATCTTCAAATGTACCTTTATACATGTGTAAATTATATGAAAAGTATATTTGAAGCATATAGTCTATAATCTTTTTAGGTTATCCCAAAATTATACATAAGAAAAAACGAATTATATTAAATTCTGTAGCTAAATAATGATAATTATAAAAATTACGATAATTATTGCTTCATGTAAATGAATATAAAAATTTTATTAAGTTGTATATTATATTTGCATAAATTGATTAGTAAATATTGTTACTAGGCGCAGGAGTTGAGAGTATATTTTAAAAGCCTTGGTGCAGAAATCAGCGAAGAAAAATCTCCTAAAGGTATAGAGGATGATTTACACAAAATTATTGGAGTATGTGAGGCATGTTTTAAAGAAGGAAATGAAAGTGAGATAGAATCTGTATTGAATGATATTGTTTCTATCATGATTTTAGTAAGTTTGACATCCAATATATTTATTTTTGTATACTTTATTATTGTCTAATGTTAATGTAATTTTTCTCTATTTTTTTATTTTTTATAGATACCTACAGAACGTGCAGAAAATTTAATTTTAGCATTTTGTGAAAAACTTATAAAAGCACCTGGATATAAGCTAGGATTAGTATGCCTAAAAGCGTAAGATATTATTTTTCTTCATATATATTATATAATATATATTTTAATGTACTTAATATAATAAATTATATATTTTTACAGTTTGTGGCTATTATTCCAGTCTCTAGCTGATGATTCTCCGATGAGATATCATGTTTATTACCACTTAGTGCAAATAGCTCGTAATGTTGATCAAGTGAAAGCTGTATATGGTGGGATAGATCAGTTGAAACAACAATTTGCTTCCTTTCCACCATCAAATGAACAAATGCAGAAATTACTGCGGTTGTTACATGAAGTCCTCCTAAGCTGCAAACAGGGGTAATTATTTGTATTTTTATCATGATGTGTTAAATATTAAAACTTTAATTGGTCCATAAAAATCTAGAAACTGGTCCATAATTACCCTTGAATAATACTGATTATGAATATGTTTGTATAATCTTTCAGAGAGCAAGCAGCAGCAGTCATGGTAGAACTTTTAGGGACATACACAGCAGAAAATGCTTCTGCAGCAAGAGAAGATGCACAACGTTGTATATTGGCTGCGTTAGCAGACCCAAATACATTTTTATTAGATCCATTATTGGCTTTGAAACCTGTAAGATTTCTAGAAGGTGAATTGATACATGATTTACTTCTCGTGTTCGTGCAGGACAAATTGCCGGCGTATTTATACTTTTATCAACATCACAAGGAATTTGTTGAGCACCAGCTTGGTATGTATTTTGTTTAATATAGATAAATATATTTAAACAATTCAAAATAATATAAATATATTTAAATAATTTGTGGTAATATGATTGTTTGTTATTTTTCTTATAGGCTTGAATCACGAGCAAAATATGAAGAAGATGAGATTGTTAACCTTTATGCAACTTGCTGAGACCAATCCGGAAATGTCTTTCGATACGATACAAGAAGAGTTGCAAATCAGTGAGTCTGAAGTGGAAAGTTTCATAATTGATGGTGAGCTGTTGTTACTGCCCGATTCTATCACTTGATTTTTCTGTTTCTAAAATGTGAAATTATCTTTTTAAAACTTTGTAATGTTTATTGCAATATTTATAATTATACCCTATATAAATAAAAGTTTTCACTATTAATTATTTAAGTGAAAATCTTATTTAAGCAGGGTATATTAAATGGATCAGTACTGGCTTAGTAGAGTTATATTTTACTGAGTTATCGAAGCATTCAACAATTTTAGTGCTACTTAACATAAAATATATATAAAATGCTTTTGAATAAATATAAAAATAATAGATCATCACATTTATCTGCATTTCTGTTCCAGTTTTAAAAACAAAACTTGTAAGAGCGCGCATGGATCAAGCTGGTCGTAAAGTGTTGATCTCAAGCACTATGCATAGAACGTTCGGTCGTCCGCAGTGGATGCAATTACGAGACTTACTCGTATCGTGGAAAGCTAATCTCGCAGCCGTCCAAGACGGAATGAAAACCGTAGCCGCTGCTCAAGTAGAACTTGCAGCAAAAAATAAAGCTACTCTTGGTCACTGACGTTATTGAAAAATTTCATGAATGGATAAAACATGGAAGTACAATGATTAACAGTCGAAAGTTGTCTTCCATATGACAAGAACTCACGTAACTCTGCCGTATATATCAAGTCTAGCTGCAAAATGAAGGATGCAGATAAATTGTAAGAATAATTTATATTACAGTATTACATTCACACATTTGATAAGAGTTATATGTGGAAAAAAATAAAAGCTGCTATATATAATGGAAACATTTTTATAAAATCTTGTTTAAACACATAAATTTAAACATTTAATATGCAAAAACTAGACTTGTTGATATTATTCCATATTGTGTTGTCTTTTATGCCGAATTGTCTCTATGAAATAATTGATGTAATTCAAATCAATATAATCTTTATACGAAATATTAACAATTGATAGAAAATAATTTATTTTAATACATTTAATATCCTGCATTTTATATCTAATAACTGAAGATAATAATACAATCAACAATTTATACAAGATTCGATAAATACACAATATGACTATAAATCATACAAAAAAAAAACAAATAATATGACTGTTCTTAAATAATCAATAAAACCATTTCAGATAATTTGTTTGCATCTTTATTTGTACAAATGATTTCTGCTATACATAGATTTATTACAATTTATTTTGTTTTAAAGAGCATAAACAATAAGAAATATTCATATGCAAATATATTATAGTGAATTTAAAAATATTATATAGAATTTTAAGAGTGAAAAAAATTTTTGTACTAATTTTTATGCTATATTTCCCCTTTTTTAAATTTACGATGTAGTTATTACAAGATATTTTACATTTCACTAGAAAAACGCACTGATGAATCTTATGCATTTTGAGAGATAAACGTATAAAATTGACTAAATAAAAATTAAATAATGTTTATATTTGATATACAGGATGCTAAATTTCAAACGTAACAGGCAAAAAATTTCGAAAACTAAATAACATTGAGGTCCGCCTTTTTTTTATATTGTATTGTTTCGAAGGGGACACATTTTGATTAAACCAAAATTTAATTTTGGGTGAAGGTAAATAGATCAAACTTTTTTTTTAAATGGAATTCTAATTTTTTGAACATCTACGTTTGTAGCCTTCGTTGTCTTCGTAGCCAATCTTCGTTGAAAATCATTAAGCACTCTTTGTAATTCGCTCGTCGAAATTATTTGACTCACTTCGCATATTCGTTGCATCATATTTTCTCTTGTAGTTGAAGGATTAACATAAACAATTGTTTACAAAGAGTGCTTAATAATTTTCAACGAAGATTGCAGGCTTGCATAAATGCAAGGGGACAACATTTCGAACACTTAAATTAATGAAATTCTCCATTTCGAAAAGAAAAACGCTTCTTTTTTCTCAAATATTTTATTCTTATTGAAAATTTATTAATAAAGTTTATTTCTTCTTTGCTTTATTCAAGCATTATTTTTTCTTTCCTGAGTCTTTTTTTCCATTATTTGACCTCTAATCATCTTGAGTGTAGTTGTTGAATTCGTCATGACAAGGGCTACAAACGTAGGTGTTCAAAAAATTAGAGTTCCATTTTTAAAAAAGTTTGACCTTGGCGCCTTCACCCAAAATTAAATTTTGTTTGGATCAAAATGTGTCCCCTTCGAAACAATACAATATAAAAAAAAAAAAGGCGGACCTTAATATCATTTTATCATAGTTTTAGAGATTTTTTACTTGTTACGTTTGAAATTTAGCACTCTGTATATATTAGCATTTGTAGCTTCTTATAACATGTGTCTGTGTAATGTTAAAAAATCAATATTAATATAAAAGTAGAATCACTCAATATATTGATAATTATAAATGTATATACATATAGTTGAATTAGCAAATTATGTATATGCAAAAAATTAGATGGAAAAAATATTAATATACAAAATGTTTAACATAACGGTTTACACAAGTTTTGACACACTTTCGATAGCTTAAAGAGAAAGTTTTAAACATTCATACAAGTTACTTACAATAAAGTTGAAAAATAATTTTCTTTTCATAATCAATTTCAGAATCAATGTTACTTTAAATTTTTTTAATGACATGCAATTTTGATTATATTGGGGATTTTAAGACGAATTCAACATACTATCAGTGATATGACTTTCATTAATATTTAATGTCAAATTTACATCATTATTTTAACTAACAATACTTATAAGTTCTGACTTATAAGCTCTTATAAGAAATGTAATAATTGCCCAACAACTTTCAGTGTTTATGTTTACATCTCTAGGTTATATTGTTATATGAAGTATAGGCTTATATTACTATATGAAATAATGTTGCATATTTGGTATTAAATATATAATAAAAGTGATATCTCTGATAATATGTGTTAAATCTGTTTTAAAGTCTTGTACAATATTATGAGAAAGTTGCATGATGACATTTAAAAAATTTCAAAGTGACTGATTTTTTTCAGGAAAATTTTTTTTACATTTCTATGTTTTTACATTCTATGTAAGTGGTAGCTTGTACAAATGCTCACCTTTATGTTCAAGTTTTCTTTAAACCATTGGAAATATCTCAAAAATCATACGGACCGTTACACTGAACATCCTGTATATATTGTACATTTTTAATTCTACATTATTATATTTTTACGGGCTTCTTATGAAAAATAAACAATAAATTGACACATTAAAACAAAACAAATCTCACAGACATGATTTTCTTAAAATGGATGCAGTTCATATAATATGAAGCATATTTAACTTTTGTTAAAAATCATTACATTGTTTGATAAGAAAAAATAACCTGTGCTTGCACAGCATTTAACTTAATAAAGTACTTAATGTAAGTCAATATATCAAAATAACAAAATTGAAGGTGGGAGAAAAATATCGTTAAAAATATATAATAAAATATGTAGAATATATGTAGTGTGTTATAGAAAACATTTAATAATAATCTATTTTTAAATCTTAATTCCTATATGTATATGAAATTATAATTGATAAAGCCTTTCTCTCACTATAATTATATAATCACACTTGCGCTCAGTTTCATGTACCATTATATTAATTATATAATTGACACCATCTCTGAATTTGCCAATAGTGCTTTAATCTTCAACACAACAAGATGAAATGTAATATTGCAAAATGTTCATAACATCGTATAAATCATCAGCAATGCAATAGCACGATATAATTATTCTTATTACGAATTATTGTATTACAATATATTAAGTAGTTGCAACCTGAGTTAATGATAAAAAGAAATGTTCAGTCCGCTGTATAGCGCATGATCATTGCGAGTGAACATATATTTGAATAAAGTTTCACATTGTTGTACTAGATATATTTAGATTCTGCAGACGTATTTAGGCTGTACTGTAACTATTTAACGTCTGTTTTCCCATTTTTAACAATCTTTTTTTTTTACATCTGCAAATGTAGTTTTCAGTTTAAATAACATATAAAGTCTTTTTTGTTTTCTTTTTATAAAGTGTTTATATTGTTTAGTAAATCTAGATAGTGCTGAAATACCTTGAATTAAGGCATACTCTCAAGTTTCTACAAAATATGCACAGAGTCCTGTACTTTTGCAGAACTGACCATGTTTATTTTAAGTCTGTATACATAAATCTTTTGCAACTTTTGTTTGAAAGACAAATGACGGATGTGATAGAGATTATGATATATTGTATCAAAAGCACTAGGACATGCCGAGTGGATTTTCTTAGCTCGTACTTAACAAGTCAGATCTGTGTAGAAAATCTGGGACGTGGTAAGTCTCCAAATATTGTATCACCGTGGACGCTCTTAGCTAAGGCTTTAATTGAAGCTCGAATATTATTCGGATCTAATGGGTCACTGGGCAGCTGTAATTATATTTTTTTATTTACAACACAAAATGTACTGTTACTGAATCATAATAATCAAATCAATCTAATATCAATATGATCGAAATTAATGAAAATAGTAGGGAAATGCAGCTTGTATAGTATAGTATAGACAATCATTAAGAATTTTTAATATATTTTTTATTTAATATATATGGAATTTTACCTGATCGTCATCTTGATCTTGTGCTCTATGACGAATCATAGAAGGAAAAGCGGGTACAGTGACTGGTAGCGATTTAGCCAAAGTGGAATGACCATCTCGTTGACCTTTTGGCATATGAATCCCTTCGTCTTGGCCCGAATCTGAGAATAAAATATTTTTTCACTCTTAATAAGAAGGAATAACTAAGAGCAGCCAATCGTTAGAGGTTGGGTGCGATAAATTATTTTTTTTATTTTAAATCCGAATAATCCGATTTTACCGTTTAAGATATATATTACCATCAGTGTCAGATTCTTCTTCTGAAGATTGTACTATATTAGGGGTATCTGTATCTTCTACTCCATCGAGGGTAAACATTGTTTCCGTATCAAAGCTAACTGATCTGGGACGTGGTAAGTCTCCAAATATTGTATCACCGTGGACGATCTTAGCTAAGGCTTTAATTGAAGCTCGAATATTATTCGGATCTAATGAGTCACTGGGCAGCTGTAATTATATTTTTTTATTTACAACACAAGATGTATTGTTATTGAATCATAAGCAAATCAATCTAATATCAATAGTTTAGTACAATTAGTACAAATATATAACGGCTTTTTCTTTTTCGTACTTTCATTTTGTAAAGTTCATTATAAATTAAATATGTATAACTAAATATATAATAAACTAAATAAATATGTATAAGCAATAAAAATATCCATAAATATCCAATAAAATCCATAGATACTGCAATAAGAATATCTACAGATGCTCAACATATGATGAAATGTCAACAATATGAACAAAAGGCTTACATTAGCGGAATTAGAAGAATGCTTAGAAGCTGCCTCGTGTTTAACATTCGAACCAGCGAAAACTTTTGTATCATCTAATGCTACAGTGGACCTTGGACCATCCACCATATTAGCTGCAGAGGTAGTCAGAGTATTCTTAAAGCTGTCAGGAGTTGTTGGCGGAGTTTCTATATTATTGGTTACTCTATTTGTCTCTTCCCCTTTACACATTAGTCTAATATGGAAAAAACGAGTCTTGATTACTATTACATAATAACGGTAATATAGCACATACTTGCGAAATGCTAGCAACGAAAGATCATACTTTGATAATAGCCTATGTTCGTTGTGTGCTCTTTCACGAAATTGTTCCAACAATTGATACTGTTCCGCAGTAAATGCACGTATTTTGTCTTCTATCACCGCCGTTTGACGTTGCACAGCTTCCTCTAGTTGCCTTTGTAATCCACCTAGAGCCACTTGAACTGTATTAGGTAATTGTGATACTGCAAAAATGAAAGAAGAAACATTCAGGTAACACTTTGTTGTAGTTGGCTCATTTTAAAGCGCAATAAAAAGAGATACTGTTATACATGCACATGTATGCACACGGTATTCATTCACCAGAAAATTTATTAGGCTGTTGTAGATAGTCATCCAAGTCTTCCACGTAGTGATCAATTACTATTCTGAATACTGGGCTGTAATCTGGATTGGACTTTAATTTACTTATTTCCTCAGATGATAACTGAAACAAATGATACAAAGTATATTAAAGCTTGTCGTAACTATCATATTGAATAATGCAAGAAATATCAGGAGATATAGATTAAGAAACAGCACACTGAAAATTTTTGTGTACCATTTCTAAATAAAAAATTCTAAATAAAAGATATTTGTGTGAAAAAATACTTCAGGTTGCTAGAGCATAAATTATAAAATGTTCCAAATACTATATTTCTTCTTAAAAAATTTATATAGTTGTAAAATGACTGTAGTATGAAGCCCAATTATACATATACTAAATTATTCCATATGACCAATCTCATGTTACAATCATTTTACAACTGTTAATTGATCTTCAAAGAAAAAATATAGTGTTTGGAAGCATTTTACAAATGTGCCTTAGCAACTCAAAGTATTTTTCCATGCAAATACCTTTTTATTTAGAAATGGCATGCAAGAACTTTGAATATGTGTTTTCTCATTTCTAACATCAATCATTAATCATCAATGACAATTATGAGTTCTATGACGAAATATCAGAATATCTTAAGTTTGAAAGCTATTATCAATTAAAAATTAATAGTATAAAAAACAATACATGAGACTTTTAATTGTTTACGTTATTGAGCAAAGGTATATCTTTAATTGATTTCACATGCGAAGATAATCATTCTCGATCAGATCAGTTACTGAACTTATCAAATTGCATATCTTTCAATGTTATATTTTCTTGATAGATAAAGAACGATATATGACACAAACAACCATTATATAGTAACCAATGGATATTATCTAAAATTTATAAAATGCACATTAAACTTAGTATTACAAATAGAATATGAATAGGCAAAACAGATTTACATGTCAAATAAGATAAATTATCATCTATGTCACAACATGTGCACGAACCACTTTGATAAACATTATCACTTCGTTTTGCATTTATTATATAACATAGATGAAAGACTATCATTTGTGATATTCCTTGTACTTACAACAATATTGCTATTAATAAGGACTAAAGCAGCACCATATTCCCTATGGATAGCATGAGTATACATTGAGCAATTGTAACAACGATGTATAATCCATGATCCAACATTTTTTATTTCCACCAAGCTAGATTGTTCTTTAGTAATAGTCTCCAATCCTAGTACATTTGCCAGATTCTACAAAAGATACAAGATCAATGTTCATTAGTATCGCAAAATTTATTACTTTTAATTATTTTTAATTGTAATCAAATTACCAAAAATTGAATTAAAGCTTCCTATAATCATTAATATATTCAGTGCGTGTTACATAAAATGCATTTAAGTCATGAAAGATATACACAAAATATGAAAGATAAGCAAAGATCGCGCGGAACATCGTGTTATCGCGCTGCTAAGAAAAAAGAAAATACAATATTTGGAATCAGTGCAATTTCAACGAGTTCGTGCAACGAAACTCGATCTCACGGCGCGGAAAATTAAATAATAATCTATGATTACCATTAATATACCGACATTGATATACCGTAGTAAAATACGAAAAAAAAAAAAAAGAAACGAACAACGCAAATTTGTCCGTAAGCCGGTATGCCACGTGACATTCGCGAAAGTATCTTTCTTCTCCTTTTTTAGAAGATATAATCGTCGTGAATTCTTCTCTCTCTTCTCTTCTCTCTCTCCTCTCTCTCTCTCTCGGCGCTGAAAAATAATAACAACATTTACTTCGCGAAAGAAGTCGTCTGCGCGTTCCAATTCCGTCAGCTCGAACTTATCGATGTCGATAGGCCGCAGTTCATTGTCTCTGAACCTGATGGACACATTCAAACATTTGCAAGTGATGTGCATCTTTGGATCGATCGGTACCGACGGTGAACAAACAACAACTTTTGACCTCTCGCAAACTCCACTTTTGTTGTTTCCTCGCAGAAATCGGAAAACACTCGACGTCGGTCAGCCTCTTTCGTTTCCTTCTTCCAAATTCGTCCCACTCGGATCTTTCAGGTAAATTGATCACAAAGGTCGTCGATCGCGCCGATATATCTCGCCGCTAACAACTTAATCAGATAAAACAAAGATTGGCTGCTGTCGTGCACTGCTCTCTCTCTCTCTCTCTCTCTCTCTCTCTCTCTCTCTCTCTCTCTCTCTTTTTCTACCCGTTTCTCTCATTCACTTGCTCACTTCTGAAGTCGATTTAAATCGAGAGTTCTTGATCGACTGAAAAAAAAGCAGCAAAAACGCTAAATGTGACAAACAGCGAGTAACGATACGAACAACCGCTGCCGCACGACTGTGAGAACTCACGAAAGCTGCTGTTTCTCGGAAGATCGATATAGGAAAGCCGATGCGACAAAAGATTCTCTCTCTCTCACTCTTCTTGTTTCTCGCTTTCCCCCTCTCTCTCTCTCTCTCTCTCTTTTGTGATGTACGGTGCGAGTTACCTTCAGTAATTTGTCCGTCTGGACAATCTAATAGACAATTTGTGTGTCTGTTAGGCGATTCATGAAGAGATCCCAAAGATTTTGGCGGAGGTACTAAAACGCACGAGACCGACGAGAAAGAGCATGCCCCGCTCCGGTTGTACCGATAATTTGCTTTCACTTCGGTGTTTACATAGAACCGGGGAACCAGCGCACGTCAGAATGCTTGCGTGAATGTCGCACGATCTCACGTCGCCGGCCTCTCTCGTTGATACGCATGTAGCGAATGAACGGCGCAGGGGGGAGAGGAACGGGAAGGAGAAACGGTGGCTCAACGCGACGAGTGTTTGTGAAAATTTCGGTAGCTCCGAGCGACTAAAAATAAACGCGATTTATGAACACGATACACTCGACGATCGTAGGTACGCAAAACACACTCGCTAGTCAATTGATCGACTGGCGACTCGTGTGACAATGAGTACACTCTCGACGACAAATATGCTCGCGGACACTGAAGTCAATCGTTGTGTTGTCGCGGGCCATTTTAACGTTGCTCGATAACTTGCTGCTTTGCATGGAACTTCGAAAGCAACGGATTAAAAGAAACGCAGTCATGATTTACGAACAGTTGCCGATATTCTCGCCTCATTCGTGTCAAATTTTCAATTTTCAAACGAGAATATGCTTTAGCATCGACTGTTCCGTTCTGTTGCACTTTTTGCACTTCCGCTCGATTCTTCCGTCGAGTCTAAATATAAGACTGTTTTCTTTTTGCTTTAAGATAAAATATAAGAGAAAATAGTTTAAACTTGGAGACGTGAGAAATTTTAAAAAATAACTGTTAGTTATTTTTAAAAGTATCTGCGAAGACTGATAGTGAACTGTTAGAACTAAACTATATTAAAACAATCCTGGATAGACAAATTGTCTGCATATAGAGACTGATATACTTTTAATTTGAGAATTCAAAACTTAACTGTTCCCGTTTTCAAAAAAACGAGTCACTGTTCTGCAAACGGTGGATTTAGAAATAGGATCGAGATCAGGATGTGTAACATTGAATAGATCAGCTACTTCTTGATATGATCTAATACGGTCATCAAATCCTCGATAAATAAGTAGCAATATTCTCTCTTTTTCGGTCAACATTTTTCAGAGAAAAATGTGATATTATAATCGGAAAAAGAAACAAAAGAGATAAAGAGCGAGATACGAGCGAGCGCAACTCGTTTTTAGAATATGTGGACCGAGAAGCATTTCTGACCGCACACTCCGCGCGGTACACTTTGGGTAATGCTAATGTCGGCGGTACTGTAACTTTCAAGCGTCATAATTCGAAAAAAACTTAATAAAAAATGACTTCATTATAGTATTTTGAAAAGCTCTCGAGATAAGCTACAAGAATTTCCAATAAAAAATAGGGGGTTCCATTTAAAAAAACAAAGTTGACCTTCATATGACCTTAGCAACGCCACCTATGGTCAAACTGATACAACTACTAAATCGATCTTATTAAGCCCTCCAACTTTTGTATCAAACATTTTTTCGTATCTTTCATATTTTTCGAAATATTTCAGCGTTCCCGGACTTTTTGAGGATTCTGTATATATACATATATATATATATATATACATATTCTCTCTCCATTTCCTTATATATGTATATATAAAGAAATAGAAAGAGAAGAAAAGAATTATAAGAAAACGCAGTTTAAAATTAAACGAATTGATATCGAGCGCCCTGTATAATATAGTAGGCATTTCATCCTGTTGAGAGAATTATAGTGACATAATCGACCTTGCGGTATGATATTCGTTAAACTCATTAAATGCACGTTCTCGCCAGTAGCCCTGTCGATTACCACGCGTTCGTGTATAGAATATTTATTTTCAACTTTTACAGTCTGTTACTAACGATTGTGACGATGATTTTAAATTCGATACTCGTATCATAATTCTCACAAGAGATTATATTCGTGTTATTTCAAGTGTTTAAGTGACGTGAAAAGTGAAAAGATAACAACGGAGAGCTGTCCACTAATGCGTGACGTCGATAAATCAGAGTTCGATAATAAGAAACTCAAAGATACAGACAGTTTAGATTTGTCATAATAATTTTCTTACATTAAGTTGTCATTGCAAATGTACATTCATATTTTTATATACATATGTATAACATAACATTGATAAAATATTGATTATATATAAAAACATCAACTTACATAAATTTTACATAAATACAAATATTACAATATCTATTGAATGTAGCAGAATATGTGTATATATACTGCTCAAAAGAATTATGACATAGATAATTTATTGCCGAAAATTGGCCAAATTTGACTGCCGATTACTTCGCGAAAAATTATTGTAGACTAATGATTTTCTTTTCAAAATGAAGCTTGAAGTCTCTACTTTAAGAATGTATCTCCATTTTTTGCATGCGATGCACCCCTACCCCTGTAACCCGTGACATCTGAGGGCATGTTTGGTATACTGAAAATCGCAAAGTTTGACGGAATGCACGGATGTGGACAATTTTTTTTCGAGGACGCCGTTTGAATCGTCATAAAGTTCAAATCTTCCTCTTCAATTTGAAAAAAAAATGGAGTCGCTACAATTTTTTTTCGCAAAGTCACAGCCCTTCAAAAACATCGTTGTTTCTTATCTTCGGGCCAAGTATCGGCCGGCGGATTAAATAACTGGAAATCATAGTAGAATAACGGCCAAAGTGTTTGTTGACATACGCACGTAAGCACGCGCGCATGTTTTTTAGCTCCTGGCTCGTGTTTTGACCACAGTCAACATTCCTAGCATCGGCAAAAAAACTCTCTCCGTATTCTCCACGGCTCTGTATGATTTCTGAAGCGCTGTAACTTTGCGAAAAAAATTGTAGCGACTCCATTTTTTTTTCAAATTAAAGGGGAAGATTTGAACTTTATAACGATGTAAACGGCGTCCCCGAAAAAAAATTTCTACGTCCATGCATTCCGTCAAACTTTATAATTTTCAGTATACCCTCAGAACATGCCTTCAGATATCGGGGGTTACAGGGGTAGGGGTGCATCGCATAAAAAAATTGGAGATACATTTTTAAAGTAGAAACTTCAAACTTCATTTTGAAAAAAGTGGTTAGTGTACAATAATTTTTCGCGAAGTAATCGCCAATCAAATTTGGCCAATTTTCGGCAATAAATTATGCCATTATCTATGCCATAATTCTTTTGAGCAGTGTACACAGGGTGTCCCATTTTAATATTCCGCCCCAAATAACTCTTCAGTATTGAAGTTTCAAGGAAAATGATCTGAATAAATGTTGTAGGGATTTAAGTGAGCTATCTTATGATGACCTTAACTTTGACCTCTACTTTCAAGGTCATTTGAAGATCAACTTGCATTTTTTAAACGGGAACCCTTATTTTTTATTAACTTTTTTTCTACTAATTAATTTGAACAACTTTTGTCTAAAACATTTTTTTATTTGTCTAATATTTTTTGAGATATTTGAGGAAAACTTGATAACTTTTTCAATATTTAACTTACGATATCTCGCTAATTATTTGTCGAAAGAGAAAGTACTAGACTTTCTTGCTTTATTTAGTCTCAAGAATATATTGTTATAACATTTGATGATTTTGAAATTTCCAAAAGTCGGTAAGTTAACAAAAATCAGGGCGCAATTATAACAATATATTCTTGAGATTAAATAGAGCGGAAAAATCTAGCACCACTTTTTCTTCCGATAAATAATTAGCGAGATATCGTAAGTGAAATATTGAAAAAGTTATCAAGTTTTCCTCAAATATCTCAAAAAAACATTAGGCAAATAAAAAAATATTTTAAACAAAAGTTATTCAAATTAATTGGTAGAAAAAAACATTGTAATAAAAAATAGAGGTTTCCATTTAAAAAATGCAAGTTGACCTTCAAATGACCTTCAAGGTCATGGTCATGATCAAATTCAAGGTCACCATCAAGTCCGTTACTCGATTTTCTACAACTTTTGTAGTTAAAGTTTTTCATAAAAACTTGATACTGCAAAATTATCCGGGGGTTCTGGTATTTTTAAGACACACTGTATATATTCAAGATGTAGGAATGCTTGTACTAGAAAGACTATTTAAAAGATGCTTTTTCCTCTTCACTTTTTACATTACTTTTTTTCATCATCTATGTTCAATTTAGAAATTTCCTCCTTCCATCTAAAGTACTCGTTAAAACGAATTGCGGCATATCTGAAAAATAATAAAATTTATTGTAGTAGCTATTTACAAAAATAGTCCTTTTTTCCTAAATCATTTTATATCGGTATACTTTGTTAACAAAAGCAATTTATTTGTAAACAATCAGTGGTACTAGATTTGTTCTTGTGCAAAATTTTCTTCGTATTTACTTACTCCAGAAAGTCGAAATTGATAGTGGAATGTTCACTTTGAATCAGAGCCCAACAGCCCCAAAAATAATGTGGTAAAGGAGTGAATTTAACAACTTGCTGATGCAATTTATCAACTTCTTTTTCAGACACATAATTCGTCGTATTGTATGATTGTAAATATTCTTTTAACCATGCTTTTCGGAACTGTTCGTCCGGATATAAAGAATAATTTGGTTCTTCGATCCCTTAAATGTTATATTTAACATTTTGTATAATAAAAAATGACGTTAGATTACATTAGAAATAGGATAAATTAAAAATACGTAAACGTGTGATTACCGGCAAATTCCGCAAAGTGATTAGCAATATCGAATGCCTGATAATTAAATGCAGTGTATTCATAATCGATAAAAACAACGCTTTCCTGCTGCCGGTTGTACAATATGTTTGTCAGTAAAAGATCATTGTGAGCATATATCACAGGACTTTCCATTATTGAAAGTTCTTCCTTCAATATTTGATATTCTTTTTCTAATATTGCATATGGCTGTATCAGTACCTCAAACCTTCAAGTGGATATGCCAAACCTAGTTACCATTTGAATATATTTTATGTACCGCAGGAGCAATAAGAAATTCTGTGTAACTGCTTACTTTGCTTGTTTAAGAGGGTCAGAAAATTTTCTTGGCATAATTTCCATAAATTTCTTTGTCTTTTCCCAAATACATACTTGTTTCGATATATTTTCATTTTCAATTTTAAGAGAATGCATTTCAGCCAGGCGTCTCGCTATTAATGGATATATTTTTGGATCTCTAACTGTTTTCACTGTCAGTGTGTCACCCTCCAAGAATTGATAGGCAAATCCATTATTAAATGTAGCATAAATGCAGTGAGTATAACCAGCCTTATTCAATATCTATACAAAAATAAGTATTATATGCACTGATTATCATTCATCATAATCAAATTTACTATCAAATAAAATAAATATATACAAACTTCAGTAGCTAAATTAACTAAAACCAAATTCTTTAATATTTTATTAATCTTTACCCGAATATTTTCTATTTCGCTTTTTCTATCAACCAGCAAATCTGTATTGTTACCATAGACTCTAATCAAAACCATATCTATATAATGATCCAAGTACCATATTCCTACTAATTTATTTGATATTCCGTCAGTAAATATCTGAAACAAAAGTGAAACGAAATGTCATAGTATTTTTCCATTGGTTCTATTTAGCAAAAAAGTTACTTAGTAACTGTTGTAAAATTCGTTAATCTAATTGGTGTATACTCTTAGTCTTGGTTGAATCTAAGAATTTACAAATTTTACAACGGTTTTCAAGCATCTTTCTTTAAACACAATTATTAATATTTAAGTTATAAATAATCAATGTCAGTTTCATATATCTGAATATCTTTCGTCTCTTATTAAAATTTACAGTATTACATAGTTTTACATAAGAAATAAATTAATTATTATTAAGATATACTATTTCAATATTTCAATATTGTTCTTTTATCATAAAGACAAGAAATATGCTTATCTTTGAAGAATTCAAACCGGAACATATGGAAACATTAAAGTAAATAAGCACATAGACTTTGTTATCAATAGGTACATTATAATTATGATAAGAACATGATAAGACCAATACAAGTATGATAACTTATTTATAAGCAAAATATTAAATATGATATTTAAAGGATCAATGAACTAGATTATTCTTTATATGTGAACAAAGAATTTTGAAGAGTGTGGTTAAAAGAATATTTACGATCATACAATGCAACAAATATGTTTGAAAAAGAAGTTGATAAATTGTATCAGCAAATTGTTAAATTTCCTTCTTTCCCACACTTTTTTTAAGATTCCTAGGGTTTCATTCAAAGCGAGCATTCCACCATTGATTTTAACTTCGTAGAATAAATAGATAGTTATGAAAAATTTTGTACGAGAATAAGTCTAACACCAATGATTAATCACAGACGAATTATTGTTATTAAAATAATGAATAATAGACAATGAAACCTATCTTGTATAAAATTAAAAAAAAACTCGACACAATATACGGCAATATATATATATATTTTATATTTGTTGGTTTGTATTATAATATACAATATACTATTTGTTATAAATACTATAAGATAAAGTATATTCAAAAAGATATATTATTTCATTTTCATATTATTGGTTTTATCAGAATTATAAAGTTATTATTATAATAGAAATATAACATTTTTATTAAATCTGTTGAATATCACATTACCTTAAAATGCAGTTGCTGTAAAAACCATGATGGTCTAATCTTCTTTATAATGTCTTTAGCGCCTTCAATAATTCTATTTTCATCTACTGTAATGTCAAGATGTTCCTCCATAGTTCAGTATTGTCTATAACATATTTGTTATTTAAATATTAATCACCAATCTAAATACTAAAAACACAATAAAATTATAAAGATACAAAGCACAGATTTAAAATGTTTCAGATAAAATAAGTCTATTCTATACAAGATGTGAATATTTAGCAGACTTATAAAGTATTATTATAACATATTGAATACTGTTTTACTGAGAAGTTTAAGTTTTAAATGATTATATTAAGTTTTAAAATCTACTTAGAATAAACTTATAACCGTATTATCATTTAATGATGGAAATTGCACAAGAAATTATTGTAAAATGTATACATCCAATTCCTACGAATGTCGTATTGCAACTAGGGGAAGTAATATGTATGTCATATATATATGTCTTTACTGATAAATGGTCTAGGTAGATATAGTAGTACAGTCAATTAGTTTAGAGAAGTAGAGTTGCACCATACTAAACTTTGCATTTGTTAAAGTAATCTTTAGAATTGATTTTATATACATGTTAGAGAACTTTTTGACTAAAATTTCATTTAAATACTCCTATGTATTAATAAATAAATGTACGCACTTTGTAATTCTATTTTATTCATCATAAAATATTTCTCATATGTTTCATATGTATCATGTACATTTTTAAAGTGAATGTACTGCACACAATGTACAAGAGTCTTATATAATCGACAGTTATTTAAAATTACCGATTATTTGGTTTTGTTTGTGCCACGTTAGCGTCATAGAAAAAACATCGTCCTTCACAATTTACATTTATATGTTATTCATGATGTAATAGAATATCTCTCTCTCCTTCTTAAAATTTTATCAGTAATAGAAAATCGTTAGAAAAATTGTGGATAAATTTATACAATCGCTGAAACATCAAAAGTAAGAATATTTTTTCATTTATTATATTTAATATTTAATTAATATTTGTGTTTTTAGGAATAAATATACACAATATTTCCCTTAATTATGCGTAAAATTAAAATTACGTTATTAATCACTAGGAACTAATTTAATATCACATTTAACACGTGATTATCCCTCGATTAATCACGTGTGCTATCACTACGCTTTCTCACTGACTATATTGTAAAAACACCTGTTTTGCTAAAACAGCTGTGAATATTCTCGCATGTCATATTGCGCACGAAGCCTGCGTTCCGATATCCACCGCTAGTACTGAAAATCTATGATTCATGTTATGTGTATTATAGATTGTCAGTACTAGCAATGAATATAAGAATGTAGCAAAATCACATAATCGATTGTTAAATATGCAGTTAAATTCAAACGTGCATGCAACTTCTGGCAGTTATGACACGATTCCATGATACAGAACATATGCGCAATGCGGAATTCGCGAAAAGCTCGTGATTGGCTGCGTTCAGTAGAACAAAATGATCAGTGAGCGCTTAGTGATTATTGTCTGTGATTGGAGCATTCTTTTAGATTCTTCATAGGCCCAGAAGAATTTACCAATCAGGAGCGAGAATCACTAAGCGCTCACTGATCACTTTGTTCTGCTGAACGTGGCCATTGATATTTGACCAGTTTTACGTTCATTCCATCGATTTCTATTCATAAATTTTCATTTTATCTACACTGATTATACGAAATTACTTGTGCGTTTGTGTATGTGTGTTAATAAAGAAGACAAAAATGCCGAATGTTTAGCAGAGGTCTATAAGAATATTATTAAAAGTTATTTGAATTTTAAATAACAAATACATTTTGAAAATCCCACATTCGTTAAAATTCGTCGACTACATATTTTCAATTATATTTAAAGAGTAATATGAAGAAAGTTAGAAACGTGTAATCGACACATTTTAACGATTATGGAACTTTCTAAATTGTATTTGTTATTTAAAACTCAAATAGTTTTTGATAACATTCTCTTTTCAGAGTAATATGATCACTCAAATGCAGGACCAGTTATAACGTCACCAACTCAAATTTTTCTTATCTAAATATGGGTCTGTTCCGTTTCACGCATCGAGCGCATTAACTGCATCGAGAACCGTTCCGTTTCAGCTAATGCGTGCATTGGTGGCGTATAGAATTCCCTAGAATCCCCCCACCTCTATCGTATTAAGCGCGCATGAGCGCGCATCAGCTACTACAGCTCGGATTAGAAGCAGTTGATGCGGGCATGCGCAGATTAGTATTTATAATCTTTTATATAATCCTATTTAAACTATAACAACGTGACGTAACGACTGATATATTTAACGTACCGATATTTTTTTATTTTAAACATACAGATAATCACAGATACGTACAATGGACAAAGTCGACAAAGTTGAATTCCCCGTATTAGTGGATAACGAAATGATTACTATATTTCTCGAAAAAGAGATCGCGTTAAGAGCATCGAAAGGTAAAATTGAAATTTTTAAGTTTTAGAAACAATTCAATTGTATTTTTAAATTAATGCATGTGTGTGAATATTTTTCTACAGATCAAGATTTCTTGATAAAATATAGACTCACTACTACTACTGCTACTACTGCTGCTAATTCTGTTGTCATCATTCACTAATGAAAATAAGGCTATTGTTGTCAATGTTTCGATGTCCATTGTGACCATGGTAGCATCCATTTTTCCTTTCACATCAAACGCATCAAAAGTTGTTCCGTTTCCAAAAGCGCATAGTGCTGCGATTCTGTAACTCGTTATTGGAGTTAACGACAGTTTCGTTATTGTTGCGCAGCTTTTCTACGATATACAAAAGCTGCGCAACGATAACGAAAGTGTCGTTAACTCCAATAACGAGTTACAGAATCGCACCATAGGCGCATTAACGAAAACGGAACGATATCAATGTGTGCAACGCATTGGTTGCGATCGATGCGCTTGATGCGTGAAACGAAACGCAGCCTATAATTCCCCAAGGACAAGTCACTAGAGCTTACCAAGGTATAGTCGCGGACATTAAGGTTGTCACTTTTTTTTTAATGACTTTTGGGACGCATCCCGACTCGAAAAAGATGAGAGCTGCTGCTCCGCCTGCGGAGAACGCCTGTGCAGTAAAGCCAGCGGCACACGGTGCTTGTTTTCGTGCTAGATTGCTTGCTGGATGAAAATACTGCGTTCTGATTGATACATTTTCGAAGATGGATGGGAATACACCAATCAGGACGCATTATTTTCATCCAGCAAACAATCCAGCATGAAAACAAGCACCGTGTGCCGCTGGCTTTACTCACAACGAAAGGAGAGAAATGAAATATACGTGGTATGATATAAATATGTCAACAATCATTGCGTTCAGAGGAGAAAACCGCTCAGTGAACGATTAGTGACTAAAAAAATACGATTTCACTTAAAATTTAATATTCATACCAGTGATGCGATTCTATAACTCGTTATTGAAGTTAACGACAGTTTCGTTATTGTTGCGCAGCTTTTCTACGGTATATAAAAGCTGTGCAACGATAACGAAAGTGTCGTTAACTCCAATAACGAGTTACAGAATCACGGTACTGGGTATCTATTATGGAACTCGTCGGAATCGATTCCGACAGGAATAATTCCGTTTATCGACGGTTACCTTATTATGGACAGTCAGATTGTTTACGAATTGATCGGAAATTTTCCGAATCGATTCGGAAACTTTCCGACACCTCGTGAGGAAGCGGAAAGTTATTCTATCTTTATTGCTCATTACATGTACAAGGATTGAATGACGCGTTAACGCTGATCGACACGCTTCCCGAATGCATCTTTAGTAGGCACCACATAGATGCGCCTTAAGCCCGTATCAGATGGATTGGGATTGAGATTAGATTGAAATTTGACCAATTGAAAAAAAGAAAATAATCTCAAGTATAGTAAACTTACTCCTGATTGGTTAAATTTCAATCCAATACTCAATCCCAATCCGTAGTCTGATACGGGCTTTATGATCTCAACGGTCCTGAGATCGTGAACCGCGACCGTCAGTTGCTTGATCCGCCGCGCGGTAAGGGGAGATAGGAGGTTCCCGAGAATCGGCCGAAAGTTGTAAACTTTGCCGAGCTTTGTCTTGAACAATATTTCCAGATGCAGGCGGTGTTCCTCTTTGGAGGTAGAAGCAATTAGTACGTCGTCGAGGTATGGATAACAGAAGCTTAACCCCGCAGTAATTTCATACAAATCATGAGATTGCTCATCGATAATGAGACAAGGACAGAATAATGATTGCCATCCTTTTCCAACTTATTATTATCGTATTTGTGTATAGACACGAACCAAACGGCTTTATGGTTACCATTAAAAAAGGTATTACCGGACGTAGTTTATACGCGCAGAAGGTACATCGGAAATTGCATAAATAAATAAATGTCACTTGATGTTTGTATTAAACAAAAGGAGCTTAAGATGCGGAATAAATAGAAAAGCTTTTCACTAACTATCTAAGCACTTATAATGACATGAAAAAATATTTGTTGGAATCTACATAATGTTACAACTATGTGTCAGCATTCATTGAAACGTCCGATGATTGCCGTCAATTGTCAGTTGTAAACGTTATAATTATCGGCAAAATATCGGATTATATACATAAGGAGATTATACAATCATGAATATTATATCTAATCGTGTCACATCGTATGTAAGTTTAAAAACATTAAATATACGAATTAAGATAAAGCTTTCTGACAAATATAAAACGTAAATATCGCTTTAGGTTAAGCCATTCTTGCTTATGAGAAATATATCAATAAGTTGTTCAAGACATAAGGATAAGTTTCAAGATTTAATTCATCCGGAGGGTCGAGAACCCAGCATTCCACATTATGTAGAACGTGAAGGAGAGAATATAGATCTCAAGAGAGCACGGTAGTGTAATTTTTTTGTCTTATAAGGAGCAATTCTAATATTAATCTAGTATAACTTTTTAATAATATCATATTTAATAGTGTATATTACAAAATACTTATTTATCAGTCACCATTTTATAATATGAGTTTTTATAATATGATTAACTACAGTCAGTATCTAATGTCAGAGTAATTATTTGCATAACCTCAATTCATGTTAAGTATGGTTTACTGATAGAATTGATTGTCAATATACTTTGAATAAAATCTAATTACTATTATTTAGATTGACATATCAGTCTCGTAAGCGTGGAATGTTGGAAAATGGACTACTCCTTAGTACATTTGCAAAGAAGTATTTGAATACCTTCAATGATAAACAATTAAGATTATATGATCACCTTATAAATTTACCATCAAATGATTGGGATATATTCTATTGGGCAACTGGTGTTAAGCCAACTCCACCTGAATTTGATAATGAAGTGATGGATTTATTAAAAAAGCATATTCAGAATGAAAATCGGGAGGCTAGAATAATGCAACCAGATCTATAAATATAAATAGTTATGTAGTAAATTAAGTAAAAGATAATATAAAATATATTAGTAAAATGTGTAATTTAGTTTTCAATATACATTTACCTCAATAAAAATTATTATTATTTACAAAAAGCTAATTATAACAATACCAGTGAACAAAAATACTTTCATCTACAACATAAAATTAAACATTTGGACAGTCTTGTTTTATAATTAAAAGTATTTAACTATTGAACTCTAGTATGTGTTCTAATTGGTTTTTTATATTTTTTATATCGGCTTTTGGAATTGTTAATTGTGAATCTGCAGAATCTTGATTGCTTTTATTTGTATTTTTATGAAAAATATTTGTTATTTAATCACAAATTTAACCACAATAAAAGATGGTTTCTTTATTTGAAAAATTTTAAATTAATCTTTAATTATATATATTATTACATATATCCATATAAAATCAGAAATATAATGTTATCTTAATAATTTACCTATTTTTAAAGATTGTAATTGTATGTTTAAAAATATTGAAGCATATTATAAAAATTATCTTACATAAATATGATAGATTTGATTTTCAAGTTGATGTCGTGTTCATTGTGGATCTGTTTCTGATATTTCGTGAATATTCTAGTTTACTTATATACATGTTTTATTAATGTTATATTAGTGTTACATACATGTTTTATTAATGATTAAAAGATGAAGTAATGTGGCACTAAAAATATTGAATTATTATTTTATGATATAACTAAAATGCTATATGGGGAGATACCTTTATCCTCATATTTTACATAAATTATGTTATCAATCAAATTCCACAGAGAATATATGAAAATCAGAAATAATAATTAACCAATGTCTATATATCTATTAGGATTTTCAATATAATGTTTCGTTTGGCTAAAACTAGCAAGCCCTACTATTTTTTTTGTAGTTGCATTTTGTTTTGTTGCTGTTTTCGAACCTCTAGAAGAGCCTCTTCCTCTTCCTCTTAATGTACTGTAAAATTGAATAAAAAGTATATTAACATAATGTAAAAAATGTTTCACATTATATTTGGTTCTTTATAAAATTTATAACAAAATTATAATATTAACGCCTATTAAAGACATTACGAATTTTCTGAACAATCCAATAATATATATAATATATAACTACACGTTTCTCTAGTTTCTCTAGAAGAGATATTAGTATTAACCTAACTTTTTTATATGTTATATAGAAAATTATATATGTTACCTTGAACCACCTCGTTTATATCTTTTACTAGCATTTCTGGAGTTACTACTAAATCTCCGCTTCTTGCCACGACGAGAATTACTGCTGTTTCTGTCAGAGAAGTTGGAATTGTTGTCATTCCAACTACTTCCATCATCATCACTTTCCTGTTCTTGTTCCTTTTCCTTGTTTAACAATACTGCAGGTAATAAAATAATGACATAAATATTTAATATGATATATAATGTTGATATCTATTATATATGAATATTATATGTACCAATCTTTTCTGCTGCATATTTTCGTGTAATATCTAAAAGAGCTTTGCCATATTTAACAAAGTTAGCCTTTGTAACATGTGGAATTTGCAACATGGCTTCTTCAGTATCTGGTAAACGTTGGCTCATAGCTCTAATTGCTACCATATTCATAATAGAAGAAGCAGAAACATCCAGTGCACCAGCGATCCCTCTTATTATAGTCATTAATTCGGTATAACAACGATCCTGCAATTCTCTTATAATACCATCCACTTCTTTTGTAACTGTTGCTTTTGAAACTGTGGCTACACCATTTGTAATTTTATCCGACAATCTTATAGGGATTTGTAGCTATATGAAATAAAATAGACTCGAATTAAAATGGTACTATGTAAAGATATATTGCTAACTTACCTTTATGTCATTTTTTGTCATAAGTTCACTCGCCTTTGGCCCAATTTTTACATATGCACAAGCAATCTCATTATTAATGTACATACTTTCAAGTAAATATTCCTGAAGTACCATATGATGTAAAAGTCGTTCTATATCGCCTCTTTTCCATGATTTACCACGACCATATAAAGCTTGATTGTTAAGACCTACAGTTTACAATGAATTATTTAGTCACGTCAAAAATATAAGTACCAATCCAATTATAGTGCTACATATAACATGCCAAACCTGATTCTCTGATTTTTTTAAGATCAGATCCTTTAAAAATATCTGTTAAAAGTATTAATGTAAGATTGCAAATTTTTCTATTATTGATATTTCGTACAGTTTTCATAACTTCCTTCGCATCTTCTGTTACATCTAACATTGTAATCTCATCCTAAAAGTATTCATGAATTAACAATAATGTCTAATAATCGTGTATTTGTATGTATGTATATATATATATATATATATATATATATATATATATAATTATTTATCTTAAATAATTACCTTGCATCTACAATTATCGCACGCAGTTATTTTACTTGAGGCACACTGCTCTCTATTAAATACTTCTCCGAAATAATTAAGTTGTAATGATCTACGACAATCTGTAGTATTTTCACAAAAGGCCACCATCTTAAATAAATTATCCATATGTGTACGAATGACCTGTGGATTCGAATTATCCATTTCAATCATTTTTCTGATTCGATGCATATCCGCATAATTGTAAAATAAAATGCAATCTGCAATCTCGCCATCACGACCAGCGCGGCCACTTTCTTGATAATAGCCTTCTATTGATTTTGGCAGAGCAGCGTGTATTACATAGCGCACATTGGGCTTATCAATACCCATTCCAAAAGCTATAGTCGCACATATTACATGTATCTAAAAATATATTTATGTGAAAATACATTATAATATAAAGTATATGAAATATTAAAAAAAAGAAGAAAAAAAATATTCGGATAGAATATACTTCATCTAAAATCCATTTTCCTTGACAGTTGTTTCTCTGATTATCTGTTAGGCCGGCATGATAGCTCAAAGCTTTAATACAATTTTTCTTCAAATGCGCAGCATAATCCTCGCAGTCTTTGCGAGATAAGCAATATACGATACCGCAGACATTTTTGAATTTTGTCTTTATCATAGCTACAACCTCATCAGAGCAATTCTTTCCTTTCTTTGAAATTATGCTGTACCTTAAGTTAGGTCTATTGAAACTCGACATAAACCTAGAAATATAACCAGATTGTTTCCAGTAAGATGTATATATTTTATGCAGAATAAATTTATATGTCAAACATACCACTTTGGTTTAGTCATATCCAGTTGATGTAAAATATCTGTTCTAACACGCGGTGTAGCAGTTGCAGTTAAAGCCATTGTTGGTACTTTAGGATAATTTTTCCTGAGACACTTCAATTTCTTATAATCGGGTCTAAAGTCATGGCCCCATTGACTAACACAGTGTGCTTCATCGATGACAAATCTCGTCAACAAATCTCTCTCGTATAAAGTAGTCATAGTATTACAAAATTTCTGTGAGGCAGATATTTTTTCTGGTGTTACATACAAGATCTTAAGAGCAGGTTCTTTTTTGCAAAGTTCTCTATACACTGCTTCTGCTTGTTTGTCTGTTACAGAACTAGACAATTGAGCTGCAGGAATCTGCAAAATTTGAAATCAAAATTATTTAAGAGATATAATATGTGACAACTTAAATAAGATATATAGTAATTGTACACTTAAACATTTTCTTACGTCAAGTGAGATAAGCTTCTGAACTTGGTCTAAAATAAGACTTTTCAATGGTGAAATAACAACTGTTAGTCCTGTGCTCAAAAGTGCAGGTAATTGATAACAAAGAGACTTTCCACCACCAGTCGGCATTAATACAAAGCAATCAAATCCCACTAATGTTGCATTGATAGCTTGTAATTGATTTGGTCTAAATGTATATAATCCAAACTTTAGTCGAAATATCTAAAATAAGAAAAGAATATAATTAATGCTTTATGTAATGGAATTTTTGTAATTATATTGATGTTGTCATATATTGCAATAACCATCATATCCATATAAATAAAAAATAATGAACAATTTGCATACCTTTAATAATTCTTGCGAATGTTGATATGTTAAACCATCAAATTCTCCACTAACACCATCATTTTTATAATCACCGAGAAATATTCCACTTTCTACCTTATATTTATTGGTTTCTGATTTTTTCTTATTATCATTCTTGCCATTTTGCTCATAATTAATGTCGAAGAAATCTATAATTAGAATAAAACAAACAATAGTTGACAAATTATGAACATATAATTGCAATGAAGTAAAATGTCAAGCATAAATGTCAAATATAAAATATGTACCTAGAAAATCCTCATCCATATTTATATTGCAATCTTCTCCCAGAGGTGGGAATTGTGCGATCTGTTGTGTTAATGTTTCAGCTTTTACAGCTTTCACAGAAAACGTTTGAGTTATTTATAAAATATTTATTCTATTAATAATCTTGAATATACCGGAAATATATATTATTTGCTTGTATATATTGTATATATTGTTACCTGTATTATCATGAGGTTTGTTGATATTAATCCACTTATCTGAACTATCATCGATGTTATTTTGCATATATATATTTCTTTCATTGCTACTTGGAGTTCCGATATTGCTATTAAATGTATCTTTAGAAACATGTTCAGAATCTATTGAAGAATTCATTGTTCTGGACATCTGTTGATCCTTTTCCCACATCTCTTCTATTGTTTTAGAAACATCAGTACTTAATACTGCTTTGACAGGTCTCTTCAGTTGGAAGGTACTTTTTTTAGTCGTAACCACAATTTCAGGAGATTTACTTGCTGATGTAATAAATTCAAAGCTACTATCACATTCTTTTGTGCACGATTCTATTACATTGGTTGACTTTTTATGAGATTCTGAAGTTTTAGTTGTCAAAGCATTTGATGTATTAAAATTGTCATAGTTACTTATCAGAGGATTCTCAGACACACATGTAGCTGATATCCCACCTGATTTTGATAATATAGATGTAAAAGCATTTGGAGACTCACTTCCCTCACTTTCTTTTTCTAAACGTGATATTTTTGTTTGAACTAAACGCAACTTAGCTTTTACATGTCGATGCAAACCTTGTAACTTCTTAAAAGAGTCTAAGTCAAATTTCGGAAATTTTTCCAACACCGGTAACGGGATCGACTCAAGCGCAACGCAAAACTTGTTTAGAACTTCTATTTGAAGATCTTTCAAATCTTCATGTCTTTCTACTAACTTATCTTTTGTAGCCTAAACATAACAGACAAAAATTAGGAAAATAATATTTAGTTTAAATACTTTTGTTATAACTGATATTAATATTTGAGATGAAACTTACAGGTATCTCAGACATTACTGGTTTCTTTTGTATAGATTGGATCCATGGATCTAACTGCTTATTTAAACCTAAATCTTTTAAATTCAATTTAATATCAGGTCCTATCCATTTCTTTGTTGGAGATTCTTTGCTGCTGTGTTTTGAAAAGGAGTTATCAGAATCAGAATCCGAAATAATGTTATTTTCCTGTTGCATATTAGTGATATCTGTTCAGAAATGTGTAAACAACTACATTCCGTTACGTTGCCACACTTGCATACTATTCGAGTCATTGATCCAATGCTGTACGCAGGCGAGCATGTGCTGCTCCCGCCGGCGCCCCGCGCGTATCCACTCCCTAAGGGCAAGAGCACAGGCTTTTGCATAACACATAGGGCAAGAGTACAGGCTTTTGCATAACACATAGGGCAAGAGCACAGGCTTTTGCATAACACATAATACATAACACATAAGAGAATAAACCAATTAGTTTTCTTCATTTTCCTCCTCAGGACAGAAATGAAGAACTCTGATTGGTTGATTCTCTTATGCGTGTGTATTATGCGTTATGCAGAAGGCTGTGCTCTGGCCCTGATTGGTTAATTCTCTTATGCGTTGTGTATTATACGTTATGCAGAAGTCTGTGCTCTGGCCCTAACGCTACGTGGCGCGCTCACCGATTCCGCTGCTCGCAGCTAAGATTTGGCCTCCCGGGTGATAAAACCGAGCGCGATAACGAGCCGCGCATTTTCGTATGGCCCAACGCCGATTGTGGCAATCTCTCCGGTGTCTGGTCTGTGCGACTTATCGTAGCGTCCATCTTTACCGGACCTGCTTTTCCTAGTGCAGTTTTGGCGTGTAATAAATATATGATTCGAACCACCGCAATATACAATCTGCTGAGTTGAAAGCGATGCCGATGTACCCTTGCTGGGTTGGCTTTATGGTCAGAGTTTCGATTGTTCAGATTTGAGTTCTCTGTGTTGCCACGCTTTAGGAGCAGGCTTTGTCGCCTCCGTGTGGAACGGGCGAACTCTTTTTCCAAGCGTCCGTCCTGGCTCTCAGGAACGGCGTGGCCGTCTACGTTGGAGTTTGCGAACTCTCTCTTTTCAAGTATCCGTCAAGGATTTTGGAAATTTCAAAAGCGACGCGATCGTTTCTATGAGAACTCTGAACTCTCGTCCCAAGCATCCGCAGGATATTGGCTAATCGCCCAGTGCTGCGATTCTGTAACTCGTTATTGGAGTTAACGACAGTTTCGTTATTGTTGCGCAGCTTTTCTACGGTATACAAAAGCTGCACAACGATAACGAAAGTGTCGTTAACTCCAATAAGGAGTTACAGAATCGCGGTACAGGAGCGACTCAGTCGCCTCCAGCGTGACAGAGCTCTCACACTGAGAAAAAAGTGTATGATATTTGAAACTATAATGATATAGTAACTAAATTATAGTCCTAAATATCATATTTATAGTAAGTATTACCATAATATCGGTAGTAATTACGATGTGGGCATAGTATAACCGACCATATAATATTTTTACTAAGAATTATAGTAAGTTAAACTAAAATTATTATATGGATACAAATATAAAATGATAGGTAAACTAACCCTTTTATATAGTCAATATTACCAGAATATTTGCTAAATGATGACAGATGTAACTATATGAGTATTAAATCTCACTATATTCGTGAATGAGAAATTACCATATATGTGGTGAAAGTAACTAAACAATTATTTAAGACAATCATTAACTATATATTTGTGTTTATTCTACTATATTTTGCAGATTTCACGAACTATAAAAATATGGTTGATGCCAAAATGAACTATAAAATATAGTGAGATTATAGTTAATTCAACTATATTTTTCTATCAGTGCAGCACTTTTGTGTGCTCCGCCACAGTTCTTCGAACCGTGGCATTTTGCTGGCCGTAGAGTCCGAAAGGGCAGGCCTTCCGAAACGACGGAGGTCGTTTCACCTTCGCACTCGTAGACATTGGTTGTGTTCAGAAAACAAAGCGCTCACTGAGCGCTTAGTAACTATTGATCCTTACTGTTAGATCCTTACATTCAGACCAATAACGTTGACGAATTACTCAACCGTTGTATAACCGTTGTGTTTTCTGAGTCTGCTGAACGCAACCATTGGCTGCATTCAGCAGACTCAACAGTTGGACAACATTACTAGATTTTCCACTGAATCTCGCTCCTGATTGGTAAATACTTCTGGGTCTATGAAGAATCTAAAAGAATGCTCCAATCACAGACAATAATCACTAAGCGCTCTCTGATCACTTTGTTCTACTGAGCGCGGCCATAGTTACGAGTGCTGCTCGAGTTTCTCGGTTCGGATTTACGACCCGAGAGGGCCGCACGAGATCCGAGTCTACTACTATCTCTAACTCCGATTCTTCTGATAAGGGTGTTTCGGCATTCCCGCGTCACTGCCTCTAAACAATCTGGCGCGGCAACAATATCTTTCTTAGAAATTTGTAAATCTTTATGTTCTGGTATCATGCCAGCAACATCTTGAAGGATTTCTTTACTTTTATCTAACAATGTGTCATTATTGCAGGGAGAATATTTATCGTTACAATCAGCAGAATAACTAGCTTTTGATCTATTAACTTGTTGCTCTTTATTTTTTTTGCTACTGCTTTCTTCAGCTTTCGATTTAAACATAGGCGTCTTCTGACACATTTTTTATCTTCCTCACTGTTAGAAGATTTAGGAATAACAAAATATTTGGTGGAGTCAGTGCTGTTCAACAAGAGATTTGTAAAATCAGCTCGCAGCTACTTATAAATTCCTTATATCTTAAAACGAACTTATAAGTTCGTATTTTACCTTTTTCGGATGTCCCTCGGAGTATAAAACTTACATCGGATGATTTTTGTCTGTTCTGTGTTCCCTCATTTCCATTTAATACTGGAATATTCATTTCATCTGAGTCTATATTATTATAATATGTCCCACCGCATATATTTCATTTCTCGCCTTTCGTCGTGAGTCACTGCTCAGGCGTGCTCCACAGGCGGAGCAGTGACTCTTCTTCTCGAGTCGGGATGCGTTCCGAAAGTTGTAAAAAACGGTCACAAATTGTTTATGTCCGCGAGTGTACCTTTCTACCTAAAGCCATATACCAAACTGAACTGAACACGATTTTTCCAACCGAGTTTACCAACCATAACTGATTATTCTTTTCACGATCCATAAACGGCTGTGATTGGTCGATTTGTTAGTATTTACGCTTGAAACAAAGACCCGGGTAAGAAGAAAAAGATTATTTAAATTATTTTTGTCACTGAAATTTTTTAAAATAATTATAATAACGTGTTATTAATTAAAATTGTGTCTTAAATCGTCATTTAAAAACTGATCAAAGGAAAGGAATCAAGTTTATTTTATTTTATGAACATTTTGTCTCTGTAGCTGGTAAAATGTCAGATTATAATAAGGAAAAGGACAATAATCATTTAGATAATGGAAAATTTGAATATTTACACTCTAATGAATCATTGTTGTCATTGGATAACACATTATTGTGTAACATAGAAACTGATAGCGATTTGCATACTTCTGCAACATCTTCTCAGGAATGCAATAACTCCATGGTAAAAGTTTTTAAACAGGATATTAAAACCAATGGAAGAGCTGTATCTAAAACACCGCGAGATGTATCTCCCGACATAAATGACTTAAACGACTGGCAAGATAAGTTTTTGATGAATCAAGTATATGCTCAGTTTGATTTACAAAATGAGAAAGATAATATCTCAAATAATAGTAATAATATCACAGACTTGGGTACATTTGATACGTTTTATAAAGAAGACACAAACTTTCAACCAACTGATATATATCTACCTGAAAGTAGTACTGTAGATACAATTTTAAATAAACCAAATATAACTTATTTGCATAAGGATGAATTAAATAACTTATCCTGTTTAAATATCACAAATTTTGGTGATGATATTATGGAAGAAAACAATTTTGTACGTTCTACCAAACCAAATGATAAAAATGTATCACCAGTTATCCAATCAAAATTTAGGCCATTGAATAAATGTAATCTTCCAAAAAAAAAGTTATGTTTGGATGATATTTCATTAAAACCAGAACAGATAAAGAATAAAAGTACAAATCCTACAGAATGTCAGAATCTCACATTTTATGGTTTATCAGATGTTGCGAAAAAAATGATTCAAGAAGTTAAAGGAATATGTGAACTATATGGTATGTTTTCTATTCTATATTTCTTGATTATAATTTGATATATACATATATATGTATAAATTTCTATAAAAATATAAATTTTAATTATATTTTGTAGAATGGCAGGATGAATGTTTAAAGTTAGCAATTAAGACGAGAAAAAATCTAATTTATGCCTTGCCAACAAGTGGGGGCAAAACTTTGGTTGCGGAGATATTAATGTTAAGAGAAATTATATGCAATAAGAAAAATGCAATTTTTATACTCCCATATGTGGCTTTAGTACAAGAAAAGGTGGTATTTCAAAATCAGCATATTAGAAAATAAATATTTACTCAACTCAATACCTGTAACTACTGTATAACTAATTAATCTTGTAAATTTATATATACATATAGGTTCAGTCAATGGCTATATTAGCATTAAAATTAGGTTTTCTAGTCGAAGAATATGCTAGTACAAAGGGATGTTATCCACCAACTAAACGACGGAGAAAAAACAGTATTTACATATGTACCATAGAGAAAGCTTTGGGACTTGTAAATAGTTTGATAGAAATGAAACGCTTAGCTGAGGTAAGCTAAAAAGATAGCTTATCTAGATAATAGTTTGTCATAATAATTATAGGGTAATAATATAATGGACAAAAAATATTTGTTTTTGTGTTGTATTTGTAGATCGGTATTATAGTTGTGGATGAGTTACATTTGCTTGGAGAATCTGGAGGAAGAGGTGCCACTTTAGAAGGACTGCTAACAAAAATAATGTTCTTTGATGGTATTATTCAGTTACAATTATATAAATATAAATATTTTCTGAAATCAATTTTTTTAATAAGACTTATTTTTGACAGATATGATACGTTTAATCGGAATGAGTGCAACAATAGGCAATCTAAAGGAGATAGCACAGTTTTTAAATGCGGATACATATTCTCAAAATTTTCGACCAGTTAAAATAACAGAATATGTGAAATGTGAGAATTGTATGTGGAAAGTCAATTTCAATAATGAAGAACTGTTGGTAGAAATAAGCAATAATGATTATAAGGTGATTTAATTATGTTTTGTTTCAAAAGATACTTAATCCTCGCTCAACAGTGCTAGAGTCTGATCCAGACACTGTAGTCTATGTAGTTGCCAACGCTATCAATATTGCGCGAGGATTAATAAATAATTTTGGACAATCAATTATATAAGATTTCTGCTATAAAGTATCCAGATGACATAGCAGTATTAGATCCAGATAGAATAGGAAATTTGGTAATGGAAGTAGCACCGAACGATTCATGTCTTATATTCTGCTCAAGTCGCAAAAATTGCGAGAATTTGGCCTTATTATTAACCAAAGTTTTGCCAAGGTGCTTGTGTTTATTTTAGATATTATTTCTCGGGAAGAAAGAGTATTGAATATAGCATTTAAATTATTATTGCAGAAGTTTAGGTAATTACAAAGTGATGGAAAAAAGAACCTTGTTAAACATACTGAAAACTGAAGAAGGATTGTGCGAAATTTTGCGAAAGACTCTCCCATTTGGTGTAGCTTATCATCATTCTGGCCTTACATCCGAAGAACGACGCTTATTAGAGAACGCTTTCAAAGAAGGCGTTCTATGTGTAATATGTTGCACATCGACCTTAGCAGCTGGTGTAAATTTACCGGCAAGAAGAGTAATTTTTCAGAATATCTTCCGAATAATATCATTATTGTAGTTATTCATACGATTTTCTACTAGGTAATATTACGAAGTCCTTATGTCGGGAATCAATTTTTGAACTTGAGTAGATACAAACAAATGATCGGGCGCGCTGGTCGTGCTGGTATGGGAGTTTTAGGAGAAAGTATACTCATTTGTAAAAAGCCTGAGATCAGTAAGGTAAGGATTTTGTTATGAAGTATAATATAGTTAGCTTTTTTAATGACTAAAAAATGATTTACATTACAGGTGAAGGATCTCTTAACTTCTCAAATGGATGATTCTCTGAGTAGTTTACATGTAGAGAACGATCGAGGAATCAACAATCTGATTCTAAGCGCGATTCAATTAAACATGGCAACAACTAGATATGAATTACACAAATTGATGGACATAACTTTACTTGGGATTCAACAAAATAGACTAGACGTCAATGTAAAAAGTATCACGGACGAAACAATAACGGCGTTATTAAAATGCGGAGTGATCAAAATAAAAAATAAAGATAAAATCAGCAATCCTAACGTGACCGTTGTTATTCCATCTCAAGAATCAACGGATATAGAGAAATTAAAATCTTCTAAAAAAGAAGTAAAGACGGTTACGTTTACGAGTGAAACTAAATTTCAGCTTTGTGACTTAGGACAAGCTGCAATGAAAGGCAAGAATGGTGATTTCTGACCGATTATATTTATATTTATTTTTTCGATATTTCATAATTATACATTACAGGGCCGATCGATTTGAAAACTGCGTATAAACTATATGAAGATTTGAAGACTGCTCAAAAACACTTGATACTAATTGATAATCTTCATCTTTTATATCTCGTCACGCCTTATGATGTTGTGTCTCAGATTACTCCCGTAGGCAATATCTATTATGATGTGGTAATACTATATATCTCTATGATTTTATATAAAAACAATATTAGTTATTATTAATTTCTGTATGCATCTTAGTATTATATATCTCGTATCACCATTGCAGATAATGACCCTTACTGATAGTCAAATGCAAGTCGCCAGACTGTTAGGTATAACAGAAGCCACGGCAAATAAAATACGCGACGGTATAACGCCCAAGGTAAAAAAATTTATTTATAATATAAAAAGGGATTTGTGTAATATATACTTTTTAATTTATAAAAAAATTGTGATTTATAGTCTGTGGAGAAGAGAGTAGTTGAGAGGTTTTACGTGACGTTAATAATACATGAATTGTGGAATCATCATTCAGTTTATTTCGTTGCACAGAAATATCAAGTTAATAGAGGTGTTGTACAAAATCTTCTGAATACAGTATCAATGTTTGCATCTTCCACAGTAAGATTTTGTCAGGTAATGCGATATAATTATATCGATAAAAAAAACTCAACAATTTTACGAACAAAAAATAAATATCTCTTATATTTTTATTGCCAGGAACTATCTGAGTTTTGGGCATTTACTGAAATGTTAGGTACATTCAGTAAAAAATTATCTTACTGTTGTCCATCAGAATTAGAAACACTAATGGAACTTCCATCGGTTAAAATAGTAAGTGTATTACTAGCTCTGTATTGCTAGAGCTTTATGTTACATCTACATATATAATATTTCAATTTAAAATTCAATCCACGTGTCTATCTTATTACAGGGCAGAGCTCGTCAACTGTACAAAGCTGGGTACAAATCTCTACAATCTATAGCAAAAGCTGACTCAAAGGTTTTACAGGAACAGATTCCATATTTGAGTAATAAAATAGTTGCACAAATTATAGCTGCAGCAAAAGTAAGTTATAATATAGTATATATTAATAAAAATACTAGATTTTTTTGTAAATGTTTCTTTGATAAAGTGAAAATTATCTCCAAGCCGTTTCTAAATATTTTCAATAAACAGAAGTTGTAATGTCAAGTTTTAAAAATTCATTATTTATCTTTTGTTTTTTTGTAAGGATTTTGTAAAGATATATACGTGAAACGATTTAATAAGCTCTTTAGATATACTTAAACAAACAATATGTTCTCTATAGCTTTGTATATTGTTTAGACAGAAATTAATCACATTATAATAACTTATGTATTAATATCGATATAACAAAATAACGTAATGTGAAATACCTAAATAATATCATGAAAGTTCGATCATGATAATTATTTATATAAAATAACTTAGAGTTTTATTTTACATACAAAATAAAATCCAATTGCAGCTTCTGATTTTACAAAAAGCGGAGGATTTAAAAGATGAATGTGAAAATGTTCTGGATGGTATTAATATGAGTCAACTAGATGTTGAACTAAAGTAAGAGGATCTAAAGTAAATCTTGCTAAACTTTGGCAATTTTTCGAATTATTTTTTTTAAATGTATGTATAAATAAAAGTTTGTATAGTGAAGAAATACATTCAGTAACCATTATGTATATAATTATAATAAAAAAAAATTAAGTTAAAATTTTTGTAAAAAATTGTTTCTAATTATATATCTATCTTAAAAACAACACTCTTGAGAAAAACTTAAATTATTAGACATCTTATGATCATAAATTGTGCCTAATGGAGCAATGTGTTTTGAAGAATAACATATTGTTTAAGCAGGCACATACATTAATTGACCCAACAATATTTGATATATACTTAAGAAATGGTATTATATCAAATATCAATATAAAACATGAAATAATTTTGTGGAACAATTCATCAGTAACATGAGTTTATAAATATACAAATCTCTCTTATGTAAGCTTCAAGTGTTTTATAAAATTGTATCATACAATATAATACAATAAAGTTTTATCTCTTTTTATACAAACAAGGTTTCAAAGTAACTGTCGGAAGAGTCTTTTTCTTCATGTTTATATCTTCTTCTTTTTTAAAATCCATGAAATAAAATAAATCATGAGACAGATCCTTCCATGTATTTTTAAAACCATAACAGTTTAACAGTCTTATGAAATCTCCTATATCCTCGAATCTGCTTTCAACCTCAGCAATTTTTAAGATACCACTAAATTTAAGAGAATCATAAAATTAATTTCTCACATCATAATTATTGTTAAAATTAATATTATTTATCACTTACTTGATTTTAAGTACTCTGTTAGCTTCTATTAAATAATCTTTAAGATTGGTTCCCATCAGAGAAAGACAAAACACGACAACATGGATACTGTTCATTAGTAATGGAGTATGGATGATGTCACAAGCTTTTACTCTATCATTCAGAGCAATAAAATCAAATGAGTAAACTTTATGAGGAACAGAAGCAGCAAGTTGTGCTTCACCACATCCAAAATCAGCTATTATACTATCTGTTGACCTGCAATCATTAAAATTAAAAACTAAATATTTGTATAACGTTAACTTATTTTTTAAATAAAAAGATACAATACATTTTTTTAATGGATGATATTATCACATTTAGTGGATTTACTGGCCATTGTTCAATTTGTTGTCTATAGCTATTATGATAAGCTTTAAAAGCATCGGGATCTTCCTTAAAATATTGCTTGGATTGTGAACTATCATTGTTGTATAACGTTTCATTTATGAATCTGAATCTAGATGCATCTAATTGAGCCATCATTCTATCTCTCAATGTAAGAGGCTGTTCTTTTTTTACCATTTGTACTGTTTGTTTCATTTGTGCCTTTCTAGCAAGCATTTCTTCCAAATGTTTAAGTTTTATTTTACAGTTACTTTGTGTTCTGTACGGCATGTGCTGCCGTGCGGAAAGTCTTCTGGCGGAGCGACGCTGCATGGCGGACAGCCTGGCGTTCTCACATGCGACAACTTCTTCTAAATTATGACCTGGAGAATTAATTCCTTTGGCCAGTCATAAATGTCGTAAGCATTATTTCAGGACGTTGGTCCACGGGATTAGTAGTAGTAGTAGTAGTAGTTCTTTGCAGTGCTGTTAGGTGCAATATATTGCGACGCTACAGCGCATGCGTGAAATGACGTAGCTCCCTGTTTGAGTGAAAGTCTCAGTATCGTATCTTTTTTAAAGTATTATAGCGCCCATATTATACTATTGAGAATTGCAATCGAGTAAATTAGATAATCTAAATCGTGGTTATTTTAATTGATCTGATAGTAATTCTCAATCTATAGTCTAATATGAGTCTAATACAAATATTATGTAACAGTTACATAGTTGAGTGAAAAATTATAATGTTAATGTAACGTAATTGTTACTTAGTATCCACTGGAATTATAATGTTAATGTAACTGATATTTAGTATCCACTGAACAATATAATATAAGATAAGGCACTCGCGCAAGAAACACGGGAAAACTACACTGGAGCCTGGAAGACAGCTGTACCGCGATTCTGTAACTCGTTATTGGAGTTAATGATAGTTTCATTATTGTTGCGCAGCTTTTCTACAGTATACAAAAGCTGCGCAACGATAACGAAAGTGTCGTTAACTCCAATAATGAGTTACAGAATCGCGGTACTGATCAGATAGCGCGAGCCCCTTCATGGACCCTGCGATGCGCTTTATTGCCGTCATTGGAATAGAGCTACGTCATCTCACGCATGCGCTGTAGCGTCGCAATATATTGCACCTGACAACACTAGTTCTTTGCTGGCTCCGGACTGCATTCAGCTTTGTCCATGCGCCATTTTCCAGTAGTATGAAGTTCAGTTCAGTTCAATATATGGGTGCAGTGGCTGCGTTCAGCAGAACAAAGTGATCAGTGAGCGCTTAGTGATTCTTGCTCCTGATTGGTAAATACTTCTGGGTCTATGAAGAATCTAAAAGAATGCTCCGATCACAGACAATAATCACTAAGCGCTCACTGATCATTTTGTTCTACTGAACGCAGCCATTCAATACTACAACCGCTCAATGAGCTTTTACATTTGATTGGTATATTCCTTTAGATTTGGAAATATACACCAATCAGATGCAAGAGTTCACTTAGCGTTCAGTGAGCGGTTATAGTACTGAATGCACCCTATGGCTCCGGACAAATTAAGGCACGTCCACATGCCATTCTCCAGTTACGATCAAAGTAAAAAGCTCAATATGAAGGTAAAAGAAAAACAGGGACAACGCGTACGTACGTATTTCCCACGATCAAAAAATATGTGTTTACAGGAACCACATCCAACTACCACGGAGGCGAACAAAAGACACTTATGGGATTGGTTCTTCTTTTATGAAGAACAGTTTCTATTGGCCAGTTTCATTTAGTTGGCTTTATCCTTAGTTTTATAGTCAATTATGTTCCATTATATTGTAAGGCCTGTTTTCTTTAGGAACTTTTCAATTGCGATATAAAGGCCCATCTACAATGGCTGCAAGAATAAGGTTCTAAGCATAAGCAGTAAGAAATAGAACAACCACAATCAATAACTACGTTTACACGGCAAGGTTAATCCGGAATAGTAACAACCGTAGTTTGTGAATTCTTTGATTCGATTGGTATATTCTTTTAGATCTAAAAATATACTCTAATCGGATTCGAGACTACACTAACTACAGTAGTTACTAAGTCGAAGTTAAAAGCCGTGTAAACGTAGTCATTTATTATAAGAAAAATAGCAGAGAGAAACCTGAGAGCGGCCAACACGACATTTTCTGCGACACCGACTTTCCGCACTGGGAAAGGACGCCATCTGCATCCATTTTGAGAGGGGAACTACGATGCTACCATCCACTTTCAGGTGGTAAAATCTGCATGTGGTGGAAGTTCGTGTTACATCCATTTTCAGGCGGTTTATGTCCGTGCTGCAACCACTATCTCTTGCCATCTCTATACCAGACTATGCTCGGAGGTCTAAAAAGAGCGAGGGGGGAGGGGGGAGGAGCAGAAAAAATAAAAATATGTATTAAATGTTAAATCTTCGAATACATGTTGCCGTATCAAAGTCTCCCCTATAATAAACGATTTGACATGTCTGGAGACGCATGATGCCCGCGTCCCGTTCCCTTCGTCCTGCTTCTCAATTCAGCATCCCATCCGCTCCGGACATTCGCTCGTGGCACTGACAGTGGCCGTCGGTGAGCATTCGATCCGCTCGGAGGAGCACGTGTTAATTAACGCGACAAGAATCCGATTATAAATATCTCGCGAGTCGACGAAATATTTGAACTCTTAAAAAAAAACATCAAAGAAAATCACGTTGATGTTGTCATGGGTGAAATCTCATCCTGGTATATATTTTTTTATTTTCGAAATAAAAAAAGCCAAACGAATGCAATTAAATGTTATTTATCATCATTGAATATTAGATGAAAAGTAGAAGAGTCATTGTCCGCAGCGGATAATCTCCCTGTATAAAATGTCGAACTGAAACATATTAAAAAGTATTGACATTTTGAATATTGACATCTGAATTCTGCTTTCTGATCCGAAGGGACTAAAAAGTATTAGTTCTTATTAAATTTCACCGCGCTAAATGCGAGATGGCAATGGTGAATGCTTCGCATTAAAAATGATTCAATTCATTTCAAATATGCCTTGTATTCAATCGCAATCGATAATTTTCAAATGTGAACTTTCATATGGAAAAGTATTCACTTCTTCTCCTAATTATTTTCGGATTCAGAGGCATACAAGATTTTTACGTTCTGTTCCCCGTCGCATTGAAAAGTATTGGCCTGCGATCCAATCTGAGATTTCCGCAAAGCAGAATTCACGACAAAATCTCGTGAATGCGAAACAATACTTTTAAATACGATATTTTATACAGGACCAACATTTAATAAGAACGAGACAAAATTCGCATGGGATGAAATTCCTCTCTTTAACGCTACCATCTTTAATTATTCTCCGAAAACGGCGTCACAACAACTTTGACACTCTGTACAATTAGTTGCTAACACATTTTCTAATCGTACACATTCCTCTTTAATTAACATAAAGCTAACAAATGTCCGATGCTTGGACAGAGTAATTTTCTTTATTTTCAGTAATCAATAAATAGAGTGCATCAATGTCGCGTACGGTTGAAAGGCCTCCTAGCATTCCTTTCGTCGTTTCGGAACCTTCGAGAAAAGAAGAGACGCCCAAGGGCAAGTCTCTCTTGCTTCAACTGCCGCCGATGCCCGCAATATTTACATCGCGCCGATTGTGTTGATCGGCTCGCGAACGACGATACTTTTTGCCTTTCGTATTATAATACTCGCGTACCTCGTGTATTCGACCTCATTCCATCAACAGCAGCTGTGCGCGACGCGCTCGTCACCTCCGTCTCGTGTAATTGAAAGAAATATATCTCGTCGGTCCTCGAGATACTCTATCGGCATCGCGTCGGCATCGTGTTGATTAACCACACGGTCGAATTGCGAGTACCGACATTAGAAGCGTGAGCGAGTGAAATCCGGAGGACTCCAGCAGCCGGGAAGCAGGACGCTGGCAGCAATACGTCACGTTTCCAGGTATGTGGAATCATTTATTATGCGGGAGGTCTCCGATAACGAGAGCGGACGTTTGACGAATTTTCCGGGAATAAGAAGTCGGAATTTCGCGCTCGGCATTCACAATCCGTCAATCTCTGTCTGTCTAATTATTTATTGCGTTGTTGTATACAAAAGATATTGATCCAGACAGAGACGGATAACGGTCCATGAACGCGGATCTCTAATTCATCATGTTCTCAATCAAATATTCTGAATAGTTCTCAACTGTGTGAGTATACCGGTCTTGTGTAGAATATTCAACGTCATATCGCTCCTTAGACTGCGACCTTTTTTTTTCGGTCAGCGCTTCTTTTAAGTCTGTTTACTCTCGTTACGAGATCTAAATTTAAATGTCCATTCGTAAAAGAGTATTTTCGAGAGCATACAACTGTTGTCTCCGCTTCTTGTTGTCATTTTTTTTCGTCAGCTCTTTCAAGAACTCCTATCTAGACATTCAATGTCAATAAAGAAAAAAATCGTAACGAATATTCTCCACTCATCCCGACCAAACATTCTTTCTCTACCGCAGCTTACCAACCAAGAACGCTAAATTTTTGTTCCAGACGTTGCGGGAAGCAAGTCCAGCGGATGCGGATGCCGCACCGGAGGATCCGGTTCGGGCAGAGCAGGGTCGGCCGGCAGGTAAAGTTTACAAGTTTCCTACACATCTGTGTTCAACTCTTTACGATCTTTGCCTTTGTAACTTGTTCCTCATTAGCTCTCTTGAAAGCTTCAAGTCCCATTTAAATTTTCAATGTTGGAACAAAAATATAAAGATAAAAATTCCGTATCAAAATATATCCGTATTTTCGATTCGTCCCGATCAAAGATATTCTCTCTCTATCGCAGGTTATCAACCGGGAAAATTATTTTTGTTTCAGTTGTTGCGGAAAGCAACAGCAATCCGGTGGACGCGGAGGCCGCACCGGAGGATCCGGTTTGGGCCAAGCAGAGTCGGCTTGAAGGTAAGTTTACAAGTTTATTATAATCCTCTGTTTGACCCTTGGCGATCTAGAGCTGGGATATAATTTCTGGCTCGACTTGAATTACGATCGCAGAGGGTAAACTATTCTTTTACTCGCCCGCACTCGTTGGTCAAAATCTTGGTTTATTGATCTGATGAGCAAATGTGAATTTTTTGTTACAGAATTGAAGCAGAACGTGGCCGGCTCTGACTGCAAGTCGTTTCGGTGAGTCAAAATAAAAAGAGAAACAAAATTCTGCATGACGGATGTAGGACTAAAAAATATCGTTCGAGTCAATGCGAATTGCGAACAGATTCTTGCATGTGTGTATTTGTGACGTTGAATAAAATACATTGCTCGAAACAATCAGGGGATTACTTGATCGATAGCCTGCATTACATGCGAGATTTAAAATATTGAATGATTCTTTTGATGTTCAGTCATCTGAATAAGAGATGTTCATATGTACAAACGCGATACCGTCATCAGTTGCTTTATTTTTATTTTTCAAGCGGGCCGCAGAATTATTTAATGATTTAATTATTTGACAATATTCAATTGTCCGTGTAAAATATATTCATACGCATAAATGCCGATACCGTTGGCTCCTTTTCTTTTATTTGCAAAACAGGCTGTAGAATTATTTGGCAATATTGTCCATTCATCACGATCCCTATTGTCTCGAGTAGCGTATAATGCGCGCAGAAATTGCGCCAGCGCACGCCGAGCTTGAGGTATCCTCGCTCGCGTGCCTGTCGTGAATATCACGACTGCAGTTATCAAAATACGCGTTTTTACCCGCGCTGCTAACAAAGAAGGCTTAAATTCTCATTTCGCCAAAGTATCGCGAACGTAAGCTTCGTCATGACAGAGCTATCATGCGTGAAAACTTTGCCCCGCTCCTCTCTCTTTGCGCTCCTTAGGGGCGACCGGTTTCTGATTGTCTAATCTTTCCTCGCGTGCATTCGCGTCGCGAATATTTCACTCGTAGATATCGATACTCCCACATTTTCGCGACTTTTCAGACGCAATCGCGAAAAGCGTCGCAAAAATCCGTTGAACGAGTCAATAAATTTTCACACGGTTCTTGCTTCTCGCCGATCGAGTTTATAGAGTCCGTTTCGTAGCGCGCAAAAAGTTTCCACCGATGGCGAGTAAAACGTTCGTTAATTGACGCAAATATCGCCGTTCTAATACCACATATCGACCGCGTCGCGGAAGTGTGATGAAAGTGTAGCAATCAACGTGGGACGCGCTGCAAGATGGATGTTGCGCGACATGAAGAGCGGCAGCGGACATGGGCGGACATTGGTGGATCTGGTTGG